AAAAACCAAAAAAAAACAACACAACAAAAAAAAAAACCACGAAAAAAAAAAAAAAAAAAAGGAGTTTTTAAACATGTTTATTTTCTATGCACTTTTTTTTATTTAAGTGATAGTTTAATTAATAAACATGTCAAGTTTATTGCTGCAGAGGGCTGCTGCTCGTTTGTTCCGAGGCCGGGCTGCCGTTCCCCGTCCACGGGGCGCTGATGGCGGCGCGGATCCCTTGTCGCAGCCCGGCGGCGCTGTGCTGGGGGGGATGTGGGAGTCGGCCGCGTCGGTGGGCGGAGGAGCCGCGGCCGGGCCGGGATAGGAGGCGATGGGTGAACGTTAACAGGCGGCCGGGCGCCCCGCTGCCCCTCATTGCGCCATGGCCACCGCCAACGACAGAGCCGTGCTGCAGACCATCTTCAACCCCAGCACTCCCTTCGGTGACGTCCCCGGGCTGGACGAGGACGAGGACGTTCGGCACGAAGGTGAGGCAGACGCGGCTCGGAGTCCCGCTGGATCCTTCCCACGGGGGTGGAAGGGGCTCCGCCTGCATTGAGCGCTGGGGCTCCCGCTGCTGCCCCGGTGTCACCGCGCGCCGGGACGAGGGACGTCTCTTCCCCGCACAGAGGAGGAGGCCTTCGAGCCGGAGCTGCTGGAGCAGGTGAGGGAGCTGGAGCTGCAGGGCGTTTCTGCTGCCGAATCCGGAGATGTGAGCGCGGCCCTGGAGCGCTTCAGCGAGGCCATCCGCCTGCTGCCCCAGCGCGCCTCGGCCTACAACAACCGCGCACAGGCACTGCGCCTCAAGGGCGACGTGGCAGGTAAGGACCGCGGCACCGGCTGAGCGCCACGGCCCCGGGCCGCCCCACGTTCCCCCGCCGCCTCTCGCCCCGTTCAGGCGCTCTGCGGGACCTGGATGCCGCCGTCCGCCTGGGCCGGGGCTGCGGCCGAGCCGCGTGCCAAAGCCTGGTGCAGCGCGGGCTGATCCATCGGCTGCACGGCCGTGACGACGACGCCCGGCGGGACTTCCAGCAGGCGGCGCGGCTGGGCAGCGCCTTCGCACGGCAGCAGCTGGTGCTGCTCAACCCCTACTCGGCCCTCTGCAACCAAATGCTGAGCGAGATGCTGGGGCGGCTGCGCAACCCCGACGTGGTCGGCAGTGACTGAGGCCGCCGTACCGCCGTGCTGACCGAAGCTCAGGGGCAGAGCTGCGCTTGGAGGACTCTGAGGGTTTAGAGGAGGCTGCAGCACGCAGCTGCTCCTCGCTCCAGGGCCGTCGTGGGGAAAGCTTCCTGCACCTCAGCTTTGTCGTGGCTCTGTTCCGTGGCAAATAAACCTCCCTGGTGGCCCAGCAGGGCTCTGGTCCTGGTGTTATGGGTGGTTGTGGCGTTGCTTCCAGCCACACTGCGTGTGGAAGCGGAGAAATGGGCGTGCGAGGATGCCTGCCCTCTTCCTGAGCGTTCTGGGAGTTGTGCTGCAGCCGGGGTGCAGCAGGACCGACCCCAAGACTGCAAGTGCTTCTGGGGGCAGGTCCTGCTCTGTGACAGCACCCACGGTGAAGGGGTGCTTGGGGCCAGGTTTCTGTGCACAGCTGCCCCATGGAGTGGGTAGGATGCAGGGGCGATGCTCCAGATAAGGTATGGCCTGGCTGCATGCTGGGGTGACAGGGACTGGATCGGGGATGTCCCCGTGTTCCACTCCACCTGCTGCCAAAGGCTGCTGTTGCCTGCTTGGTGCTTGGCTCTGGCCCACCGAGTGAAACCCCGGTGTGGTGATGAGCCCCTGGCTCTGATGCACCATGGTGGGGATGCAGTCTCTTCCACTGATGGGCAGTGTGCGTGCTGCAGGAGGACAAGAGCAAGGACCAGAGAGCAGCTCCTGTGCTCCATGACACCTCTGTGCCTCCGTTTTACCCGGGTAAGCCAGGTGCCTGCTGCCAGGGAGCGGGTGATCCTGGGCTCCTCCTGATGCTCTGTGTGCTGGTGCCCACCTGCATCACATGTGTGGACCAGGATGAGCACATAGCAGCCACAGCACCTCCAAATTCTTACACCTGGATGCCCACCAACGTCTCCATGCCTGCCTCCATCTTCTGGGTCAGTTCTGCCTCTCAGGTGGGTGTCGCTGGGTGCAGAGACAGATCTTTCTTCTGTTTGTTCCTTCCCGCTTTCTTTGCCAAGGTAAGATTTCGGGAGCCACAAGGTGTGGATCTGCACTCTGAAGCCCATTAAGTGTAGCTGATAATTAAAACAGGCTCTGGAAAGCAATGGTCCCAGCTCACAGGTGGCTGTGATGGGCTGATAAGGAGCTCTCCATAACTGATCCATGTTTGCAGGCACAAATGAGTGCGTTGGGCAGCGATGCCAACAGGCCGTATATCCACATTTGCCATGTTCTGTTCTGTTCAGGCCACTCTGCAGCTCAGGGTGGGTTCAGCCATTTCTTTCCCAGGAATTTGGGGTTCAGGTTTGTAGCTCTGAGTCCCACACGCTGGTCAGATTCAAGGTGGTTTTTACACCTTAGAACAGTGTGGGGCAGGGAGTCAGAGCAGGGCACTCTTCTATTTTCCCCTCTAGGGAGATCTGAGCTCTCAGACACTTATTCTTGGCATTACTGTGTACCCCTTCAGCTCAGACCCCCAGAAATGTGCACACTCTTTGCTTTCAGACCCAACTGATGGTGGAAAAATAATGGTCAGAAATAGGAAATCCTGTTTGTGACATCCCAACTCGTGCCACGAGATGGTGCTGTGAATCAGACCGAAGGAAGCCCTCCCGAGTAAAGGCGAGTAGAATAAGTCAGCTCCCAAAACCAACCGGACAGCAAAGGGAGGGGTGAAGAGCAACAGTGTTTCTCTCGAGGCACACGGGGGTGTCTGGAACAGGGTTTCCAGATCTCCTGCTGAAACCATTTGGATGTCTGAGGGCTTCCCTGTGTTCCCCAGTTTGTTTCACGCTATGCCTCAGCCATGTCCCTGTTGGTTGCAGGGCAGCTGGAAGAGGTGAGCTTTAAGGTGAGCTTTAAGGATCCCTTCCAACTCAGATGATCCCACGATTCTATGGACGTGACAAGAGTAGCACTGTTTTACTTGGCCCATGCAAAACCCTTGGCTTAAACTCACTGCATTTATGGAGCACAGTCAGGGTTAACGTTCTGTGTCCACGAGCCAGAGCTGCAAACACACCTTTTTGACGCTGGGTACTCGAGCCACCTTCTCTATTTACAGCCTTCTTTTCAAAGGATCGTTTACTTGCTTAGCTGTTAAAATACGACGCCGTGGCTGGCAGCCAGGCACAAGGCTCAGTTTCTCCATCTCTTTCATAACTCTGCCTCTCCTGTTGTCTCAGCCCTGTCCCTGACAGCCACAGCCATGCGTTGCTCCTTGAAGTCCTTTCTTGCGTGCGTTGAGAGCTGAGTTACTGCACATGAAACTGAGCTCCCGCATACAAGCTTTTCGGATGGTTTTCATTCATTCATCCCTTCTGTTTGAGAATCCTTTCTTCTTGTCCTACTGTGCTTCTAAAATGCTCAGTAATAGGCTGGTTGGTTGGTTGCTTTCTGCTTAAGACTTGTTTTCCATGTCAGGCTTGTTAGTGATCCGAGCAGGATGTCACTCTGGGATACGTGGCTGCTCCTTGTCGTGTTTTCTCTTGTAGTATCTCTGCTCTGCCTTTTCTGGCAGGAATTCAGCAAAGCACTTAAATTAAGTGCAAGCTTGACATGAAGCACAGAGTGCTATTTGTATTGGGGCCTTCACACTTCTTTCTTTGTGGCAATTGAATGTTCCTCCATGAAGTTCCTCGATGCATCAGCTTTCACATCAAACTCATCTCAATTATCTCAGCATCTCATCTCTGCATTTGCTCTTTGAGGTGTGCAAAACCTCGGGGACTGAATGCACGGAGCTGGTTCCGAAGGCAGTGATGTGATTCTCCACTGGTGATGCCAGAAAGTGTTAGAATGGAAATATTTGTTACCTGTGAGATTTTCATGCATGTACAACCATAGGATGGTTTGGGTTGCAAGGGAGCATCAAGGGCTGTATGTTGCTGCTCCCTGCAGCGCACAGGGACACCCACAGCTCAGCAGTGCTCACAGCCCCGTCCAGCCTGACCTTGGCTGTCTGCAGGGACGGGGCACCACCGCCTCTCTGGGCAACCTGTGCCAGCGCCTCACCGCCCTCACTGCCAAACCTTCCTTACATCCACTCTAAATAAATCCCCCTGTTCTAATTGGAAGCCATTTCCCCTTGTCCTATCAATATATATTTAATACAGGGTGTGTGTGGGCGAACAAACCTACCCCAAAACTCCCCATTAACTGTGTTCCATAATGCTTTGCCCATTTGTCATTCTGCAGTAGAGCAGCTGAACCAAACCAGAACTAAGATGGCCCAAACAGTGAATGCTCTCCTATGAACTGAAAATTAGCTCCGTCACAATTGACTTCTTTAAGGTTAATCATTAAAAGGAATGCCTCAAGTGGAGATAAGCCAATGAAGGCCTGAAGTCCATTTTTCCCTTCTGAACAGAACTGGTGAGAGTGGTAGACAACAATAGGTGGTAAATTGGGGTCAGGTTTCCCGGTCCCTTTCCCATACACAGAGGTCCCATTTCGTTCCCAATGGGCTTCACCCAATCTGTTCAGCACTGTTGGCAGGTAATGCTGCCCCAACGTGGCTGCAGCAGAAAAGGTTCTGTAGAACTGAGCTCGGGATGCCCAAAGTCAACAACCTCATGGTGAAATGTGACCCAGACACTGCTGTGCTAATCTCTGGACAACAACACAATGAATAAGAGCAGAACCCTGAAAAACAGGTCTGTGAAACTGCACGGAGGTGATTGCGCTGCTTTATTTGCTCAGGGTTGTGTGTAGTATTTACTCTTGGCTTTGCTTTAATAATTGTGACATCTGGTATTTATCTGAAAATAAGGAAGTGCACCTTATTAGCCAACAGGTCTGAGAGACACATCCAGCTGCGTTCGGTTCCACTGCAGCAGGATAGGTGACAAGTGGTGTGCGAGCAGCTCTGATAACCAGACCTTCATTTCCTCTTGAGCTCAGGCACTAAACTGCAAGAAATGGGGGTGTAGAAGAGAAACACCACAAGAAGTGGGAAAGTATAAGGGAGAATTTGTTGAAGAGGGCAAATGGGAAGAGTGCTATGCTTGTGCAGGTCTCATCTACAGATATATATTCATTAGCGGCAGGTGATAATTGCTTCGGATTGTTCTTGCTCTGTTTGTTCTTGAGTCATGAACCAGTATGTGAGAGTTGTGCCTGCTGCAGAGGATGGGACTCTCAGATCGAACCAGTTTAACGCAGGAATTGTTTGGGTTGGTTTATTGCCACGTTGATTTTTCATTCCTGGGTGGTAAGTTCCCATGAAAGCACTGCTGTCTTCCCTTTGATTGAGCTAATCTTTCGTTATAAATTCTGCATCTCCCATCAGACCACACTGAGCTGGGAAGGTCTGCTATTGAGCCAACACACAGCATGGTCCAGAGGAGGGCCACAAAGATGAGCGGAGGGCTGGAGCACCTCTCCTATGAGGAAAGGTTGAGGGAACTGGGCTTGTTTAGCTTAGAAAAGAGAAGATCCAGGGAGACCTCGCTGTGGCCTTGTGTATACTTGAATGGAGCATGTTTATGAGGATGGATAGTGATAGGCCAAGGGGGAATGGTTTTAAACCGAGACGGGGAGGTTTAGGTTGGATATGAGGAGGAAGTTTTTCCCCCAGAGGGTGGTGAGGCACTGGCACAGGTTGCCCAAGGAGGCTGTGGATGCCCCATCCCTGCAGGCATTCAAGGCCAGGCTGGATGTGGCTCTGGGCAGCCTGGGCTGCTGGTTGGCGACCTGCACACAGCAGGGGGCTGGAAGTGGATGAGCGCTGTGGGCCTTTGCAACCCAGGCCATTCTTTGGTTCTGTGCTTCTATGAGTGCTCTGCTGTGGTGCAGCCATCTCACGTTGCCCAGAAATGCACCTGATGTCAGGGGAGGGGGGGAAGATGGTGCAGCTCTTTGGGGTATGGAGCTGCCTGGGGGTGAGTTTGTGTAGGGAAATGGGGAAATGCAAAAATGCAGGTGTTGCTTGGAGTTTGGGCCTCTTTATCCAGGGTCAAGAGGTTAATGGAAGCACAGCTCGAGTGAGGCGGTCTTACCAAAAAAAAAGAAAAAGAAAGAAAGAAAGAAAAAAGGAATTAAATATTTACCGGGTGAAAGAAATGCCAATTGGCAGATTAAATACGCAGCCCCTTTGTTATCATTCCAATAATTCCAGAACAAAAAAGTCAGGAGCCAAATGGGGAACCGAAGCTATGGTGCAAACCTCACAGCTGTGCAAAGCAGGAGGGGACGTGTGCTGCCTGGGGCAGGGGGGGCAGCAGCCCTGAGAGCGCTGCCATTGATTCTCCACATCCTTTTCCAGCTCAGGTGCCCTTTCTCCTCTCCTGCTGTTGGATGTACCGAGGGCGTCAGGCTTGTGATGGGCTACGAGTTGAGGTAGAAGCTCTGTGCAGAGCTGGGATGGTTTGCACCAAGTCACAGCTGGGTCCCTTTGATGGCTTTTACAGGCTGCCGTGTGGGTTCGTGTTTTAATTTCCCTGACCCCCTGCCTGTAAAGTGGAGATGAGAGCTGTGCCTTTTTGTCACCCATTTCTTGGATTAGGCTGTAAATTCTTTGGCACAGAAATCCATTTTCTTGATGTGCACACAGAGCACCCAGTCACACAAGGCTAGTGCTCTCCGTGGGGCTTATTAAGATCTAAACTATTAGCAACAAACCTTTGTGTTAGCATGCAGAGACTGTTTGAGAGGGACAGACAAGCTTTGGATTTGGCTCCTGGACGCACAGTGAGAAGTGGCTTTCCCCAGCCCTGATAACATTGCTGTGCAATGGGAGCTACCCAAGGTATGGCCAGTGACCACTGTCTCATTTCACTGCAGGACTGAGTTTTGAAGAGTGACGTGGAAACAACGCTCCAGTTTCAATGGACCCTTCATGTTCTGATGGCAGAACAACTCTTTCTCCCTCGAAAGCAGCATAACCTGAGTCCTCAGGGGCAGTGACCACTTGGAGGTACTTTGAATTGATCCCGTGTGGCTCGTGCCCTCTCTGCTGAGGATGCAAATGGAGTGCTGGCATGCAGACCTCAAAAGGCAGATGTTTTTCTGCTAACACTTGAGCTGTTCGGGTCAGTGAGGCACTGGAGTGACACTACAACCCTCAGTAACAGAGGGCTTCATCTGACACCCCATTGCACTGCATAGCTTTTGTATGTTCTGCTTTCCCCTGGGACAAACTGTATTTTTACAGCCAGCTGAATGGCAGCTGATATAATCAGGAGCACTGGGAGCAACAATTCCTCAGGGCTGCAACTCACATGGGCTGCCGTGTTTGTTCTTCCCAGGGAGTGAAGCCCTTAACAAAAGCATGGACCATTCCGTACGTATTGCTCAATAGGACAACTTCTGCTCTCAGTTTACAAGTCTGAAAACAAAGTATATATGATACCATCAAACTGCTTCATTCCAAAGCCTGCTGCTCCTTCAAACGTCAAGGCTGTAACCTTCAGACTCTACTCTGAGCTCTGAACCTTTGCATTCCTGGGGATGCTGGTTGGACCTCGCTGTGCTTCAGGGCAGTGGGTGAGCTCATACCTCAGTCCTGAGAGAAACCCAGCAGAGGAGGGATGATGCCACGTGAAGTTCTGCGTGCTGCTGAAAGCTCTTCCTTAGAAAACTTTATTCCCCTTGTAGTCTATTTCTGAATCGTAAATGTGCTCAGCTCACGTTTGCACGTTCTTCACACTTGAGGTCTCAGGGTTTGGCCTTCTTTAATTAAATGAAGATGTGCTCAACTACTTGCTTGCAGGTGTGGGATCTTTAAACGTCACAAATTTCCAAATAAACCAGAAGAGTCAGGAAGGAAAAACAACAACAAATCTCAATACCTGTGAGCTGGTGATGAAGCACCGCCAGAGGCCTTTCTCTTGCTCCTGCTTTGACCCACTTCTCAGCGAGTTGCTCAGCCTCTCAGGAGCAAATCTGCCAACCTTACTCTTCATGCAGGACGAGAGGCCATTTCAGCGCAGGTCAACAACAGAGAGCTGTGATTTCAGGGTCAGAAAAAGGCAATGCTCCCCATAAAACATGCTGAGTCCCATCCCAGCTGCCTTCTGTCCAGCTGGAATGCAAGAGGAGTTGTCCCAGAAGCATCAGGTGGCGGCATTGGGATCCATCTTCACCAAGCCTTGAAGACATCGGGGATGGGGATGGAGGTGAGCTGCTCCCCACAAGTATGGCCAGATGGAGAAGGAGGAACTGTGCTGCACTCTGCTGTGAGCTCGGCCCTTCCTGGCCTCCTCTCCTTCCCACTTCTTATTTTCTGTTGTCAGCAGTTGGGTTTGTTTTGGCTTTCAGTGCCCACAGATTACGCAGAGCGCTCTGCATGCTTTGCTGCAGCCATTCGTGCTTTGGTCATTCCTGAAAAGTCTCCCAGTGGACAGATTTCCTGGAAAGCACAGGGCATGAGTACACCTTGTTAATTTGCGTTAATTAACTGGTGAGGTTCTCATCTGCTGAGGTGATGCATGCTATAGCAAAAGCTCTGGAATAAACAACTTCACGTGGCCCTGGGGCCAGCAATGGTATTAGTGGAGATTGAGCTCTATTCCCCAAAACAGCAAAAGTCTCCACTCGTTTCACAGCTGATGCCCAAGAGAAGCTTCACACTGGAGGGAAGAGGCAACAAATGGTGCAAAAGATCATCTGCCCCAGCCAGGGAGGTGTAAGGTCCCATCCCTGGGCATCCTACCTGTGGTTGGCTGTGAGGTGGTGGTGGTGTTTTATGATATATGCGATCAAAAAGTTGGTGTAGTTTCTGAGTATCCAGTGAATGAACGACAGGGCAGGATTCAGTGCTGTGCTCTGAGCCTTTGCACCTCCCTTGCCGGGCTGCAATGCCCCATTTCTTCAGACAACACTTGAATTCTGACTAACTGAGCGTCGACACGGCTGGCAAGCGAAACTGAAAGCAATGCTTTTCCCTTCATAAAAACACTGAGCCTCTCGGTTAATTTTATGAGCGTTTCTTCTTTTGTTTCAGATGTTGTCTCTCAGATGTTAGAAGGAACAAATTAGAATAATTGAGTCAGAATATTTTCACAATATTGAGATGTTTAGCTGGGAAAGTCCAGCTTTGCCTCACTGTAGCGACTCATAATTGGAACAGTATGATCCGATTTGTTTCATTTTTCTCTGATGTTATCAGATAAAACAGAAAATATTAGGCAAGTACTGGGGAACCTTAAGGACCTCCGGCACGGTGCAGGTTCGTGCCCTGTGCTGAGGCAGTGACTTCAAAAGGCTGAGAAAATTCATTCCATTCCAAGTGTAGGAAGTTCAGACTTCAGTCTGATTCCAGCAAATTTTTTCTCGTCGGGAGTTTTGGTGGAGATAAATGGGAAAATGGGGTGTTGGAAGGAGAGCCAAATTTTCACCTCTTGTCGCTGCTCGAGGTTTTGGCCAGGAGCAGGGAGGAAGACAGGCGTAGAAAACGTGATCTATGGCTGAGTGTTTCCCATAGCCTTCATGTCTGCCATTGGCAGCCCTGTCCTGAAAGCTCTGAATTTATTCACCTGGCTTGGCACGCTGCTGGGCGATGCACTTAAACTCCAAGGGACCCAGGCTGTGTGCTCTCAGCGCTGCGATTGTAAGGGGATAAATGATTATAACAGTTTAATGTGTAATCCAACCCGCGCGGTATGAAAATTCGACCCTTCTGTAAACATAAAGGAGACTTAAAATTCTTTCTTTGGAAATCACCTGGCCTGCTCTAGTCTGGAGAGAGAAAAAAAAAAAAAGCAACAAAACCACAACGGACTCTTCATATTTGGTGTGTAATGTTTGGTTTTAGGTGCAGAAGTGGACATAATCCAACGAGGAATGAGGGCATCTGCGTGCTGGTTGAGGTCAGGTATTTGTATTGGACGTGGAACTCTACAGTGACCCAAATGCATGGAGTTTCGAAGAAAAAAACAAGAGTTTTAGTGAATGCAGATGTCATTTCCACTTGTGAGAGCATGTTTTGCCTTTTCTTGTGTTCTTGCCATGATGTCTGATGCACTGCAGAGCACAGGGAGACAGAAGGAGGAGAATCCCACAGTTGGTGCTGCTCTGCTCCGTGTGAATCCTGCTGTTTTGGGTGAGGGTTCCTGAGGGCTGAGTTGCTCTCATGGCCAACATTCAGCATGGATCTGTGCCTGGCTCAGAGCACGTGGAAGTGAAATAGTGTGGGACATCAGCTGTATAAGCAGTGAGTGCAAAACCGAAGACTGGTAAGCGAATGAGAAATGATGGAGAGGATCAACTGGAAACTCAAGTGCAGCTGTGGGTATTTCATGAGAACCATGGGGTACAGCGAGGGCTGGTTTCTGCACCTGCATTTCATGCAATAGAACATTGCACAGTGAGAACTTCGCTCACTGGAAGAAAAGATGAGGCTGGAGGAGGGACTAAGGAAAGTCCCTCCGTTTCCAGGGAGCAGACAGCACTAATGAAACACGTTTTGTGCATCTGGAATGGAAGGAAGCATCCCATAATTCTGCACTCAGAATTACGTAGCACTGATGTTTAGACAGCTGTCAGCGCTGTGTCTTACATGGCAACGTCTGGATTGAGCGTTTCTCCTTCGACCTGCCATCGGGTGCTGCTGGCGTGTTGCTCCCACGGCTCGTGCTGATGTGTTTGGACATCGCTGTGCTTCCAGATGTGCATTTTGACGAGGGTTGGATGAAGGGTGTGGGTGAGGGCCGGCAGGTGGCAGCTTCGCCCAGCGGATGGGTGACAGAGGGGACACAGCGTGTGCCACCGTCGGCTGTGGCAGTGGGATTCTCCTTTCTCACCCAAACACAGGTCCTGCAGGGTGCAGGAAGGATTCCAGCTGCCAATCCCAGAGCACCATTTCGCTTTAGAGCAGACCCTGCTTGTTGCTCCAGTGGCAGCCACCACAGAGACATAGAATGGCTTGAGTTGGAAGGGGCCACTCAGATCATAGAATCACAGGATGGTTTGAGTTGGAAGGGACCTTTAACATCACCTGGTGCCAGCCTGCTACAGGCTGATTCCAACCAGAAAGTGCCATTTCTTCTGTTCCTGCTGACCACAGTTGGCGTTCATCCTTCCCTCCCAGCGCAGAGCTGTCAGCAGTATGCATGTCTTCATGGCAGACAACGCTGCTTCCACTTTACCAAGCTTTTAATTCTGCCTTTTAGTCCAGGTGCTGTTTTGGTTGGGTGGTTTATCTTTGTTTTTTGAGTTTGTTTTTGGTTTTTCCATTCTTTCTGATCAGAAGCAGCACAGATTCTCCCTCTGAACCCCACAGTGCTGCTTTGCAAACTGACCCCCAGCGTGGCCTGACCAGGAACCAGAGCTGGGCATGTGTTTAGTTTTTTTTTCCTTCATGTGGATATAAAATCAGTTTGTAAAGCTTGCAGCCTCTCTTAAGCACGAGGGCCAAAGGAAGATGTAACCCATCTCCTTGTCTAAACTGGGTTCAGTGCTCACAGAGTGGGGTCAATGTTTCCAGCCTGAGCCATTCTATGATTCTATCCCAACGCCCATCGGTGTCTCTGGAGGCAGGTGACACAGCTCCATCTGTGCTTTGATGATGAGAACAGGCTGATAAATGCTGCTTTCAGTTAGTCGAGTGGAGACAGGCTTGAAAGGCCTTCTGCGAAACCAGCAGCCATCAAAAAAGAGGGGGAAATCTTGCCAATGAATTATTAACTCGATTATTAAAGGTGTAATTAAGCCCTAATGGGAGCTCCCAAGGGAAACAGCGTAGCCAAAGGCTGAATAAGATGGAGAAAAATCCTGTTCAAAAGCCCAGTATGCAACTGAGCCAGATGCCAATCTATGGGGGACATGGATAGGAACCACCCTCCCCCCCTAGAAAACTTCTCCAGTTATTTTTCCTTAGACTTCCTAATGGCTCCCCTAAACCAGGCTGGCTCAATCTCCTTAGTGGCCAGCTGGGGTGGGATCTGCACCTTGCCTGGGCTTTCCCAGGTGTTCCAAGGAGGCCAGAGAATAGCATGTGCTGAATGATGTGGTGGGAACTTCTGTGCAGATTCACATCTTGCCATGATCCCGCTGCTCTCTGCAGCTCTCTGCCCACTCCTCTGCAGCTGAACACTGCAGGTTTCGGGCTGAGGATGCTGTGGAGCTGCTGAGTCCTGTTTCTCGATAGAACTCCAGGGCCAAATGTGCTCTCAGAGAGCTCTCAGTGTGAAGGTTTCCAGACAGGACCACACGCCGGCGGTTTGACTTTCCTTGTGACAATTTGGGCTCAAGTTTTTGCCTTGGTAACAGGGGCAGGGCTCAGGCTTGGAATGAACCAGCTAGAGGCAGCCCCACGGTGTGGTTTCTGGCACAAGGTCTGATCTGCAGTGGCAGAATATCTACCGCCAGCAACTGTGCAAGCCTGGGCCAACATCTCAATGGCAAAGGAGGAGGTGAAGCCTCTGGTTTGCTCTACTGAGTTTGGGCTCGTGGCTTGGTTGGATACGGCTTTTTGGGCCATTGGTAGCTGTGTTTGGGAGTTACTTGCACCGTGTGAGCCCAAAGCAGGATGCCTTTCTAGGATTTGCAATCCAGTCAAATGAGAGGCTCTCAGAAAGCGAGTTTCATCTGAAATCTGTGTCAACAGTTAGGCAAATTTTGAGAACAGCTTTACAAATGGCGAGTATTGGTCATAAGAGGTATCACTGTTTTCACATTACACAAAGCCTTCCTTGTTCATCTGCAGAGCTTCAGTTTTGCTTCAGTGAGAGGAAAGTGAGGCTGTTAATTACATGTTCCTGTAAAGAAATGCTGTTGCAGGAGACTCAGAAAAGGGACCCAAGCCCTCACTGTAGCCTGTTTCTGGCTGTTATGCAGGACCACTGTGCTGGGACTCCAATGGAATGAGCTCTTCTGCTGCACTGCCTTCACAGCTGCACAAACCCCGTCCTTCCTCGCAGCCTCACCCTGCAGCTTCCAGAGCCAGTCATGCGACCCATGTGAGTAACATGCAACGATATTCTTGCTTGTACTTTTCCCTTGGTGAATCATTTGAGATCTTCAGATTTCTGCCCATTTTCAGGTTGATTTTGGGGGGGTGAATCTGCGTGTACTTTCTCAGCAGATAGATCGGACGGGTGGTTTTCTTCATGTTGGTGCACAAACCCTGAAAGCCATCAAGACCCAGGGCTGGTGCTACTTACTGTAGGTGGGAAAGTTAAAAGGTGCCTTGCTCCTTCCCTTTTCTTGCTGCAGAGCGAGCATTTCTACATGCATCAGTGCACAGTGCCCATAGGACCATTGCTGCTCTTTGTCCTCTACGAAGAGGACAAACTCTGACCATAGTTGGCTTGCATCATACGAGCTCAGAGTGTTGGCTGCTGCTGTTCCCACTGCCTGACTCAGCGCCGGAAACTTTTCAGCTCAACGTGACTGCAACTCATCTGCAGACAAACACCTGAACGTGTGAGTGAGGAGCAGGAAGGGAGAGGCAGGGACAGGCGAGTGCTGTGCCTGCTGCAAGCAGCTTACAAGTCAAGCTCGGAGAAGTCTGTTAGCAAATTTGTGTTGGCTCGACTTCTAAATTAATTTTCAATATGATTCGTAGCCTTGAACTCAGAATGCTCTTGAGGACACTGGGGAATAGGGTCACCTGCATGCAGAGGTTCTGAGGGCTTTCATCCTCTGTGTCTGATGTTGGATGTGAGCAGTATGGGGCACTCAGCAGGACCACTGAGAAATGATTTCAGATTCAAAGAAGGGAGATTTAGAGTGGATGTAAGGAAGGTTTGGCAGTGAGGGCGGTGAGGCGCTGGCACAGGTTGCCCAGAGAGGCGGTGGTGCCCCGTCCCTGCAGACAGCCAAGGTCAGGCTGGACGGGGCTGTGAGCACTGCTGAGCTGTGGGTGTCCCTGTGTGCTGCACCTTTGAGGCTCCCTTCCAACCCAAACCATTCTACGATTTCTGAATGTGAAAAAATACATGCAGCAACCATGGGGTGGAAGTGGAATGTCCCGGGTTCAGATCCTCAGCTTGTGTGAGAGGTCATGAGGGTGACGGTGCTTTACACTGCCCAAAGGCTTAATGCTGCTGCCAACTGTGTATGGAGGATGCCTCATTTGTTCCTTATTAAAACTGAGGTATGAATCAGAGCTCGTTTCAGAGGGCCAAGTGGGAGGTGTGGGGCTCACGTAGACAAATAAAAATATTACGGAACTTCTTCAAGTGGAGCTCATTGTACTATAGCTGCTTTACTGTTATTTATAGCACTATAAAAAATGGGTGATGTTCATAGGATCGTTTGAGTTGGAAGGGACCCACGAATATCGCTTAGTCCAACTCCCTGGCAATGAACAGAGACACAGCAGCTCCACGGGGTGCTCAGAGGCTGTTGGAAGGATGCACTTACAGAGGGGGGGTGACATTGTGTATGGCTGTGCAGCACTCCCAAGGAAAACCAACCAAATGTATGAGTACTGACAGCAGGCTTCTGCAAAATAAGTGCATCTTTGTGTTTGTTTCTCTGGATCCGTGACACACGGAGATGTTGGAGCAGGCTGTAATTGGTAATGTTGTTGTAATTGGTAATGTTGGTGATGCTGACTGGGATCAGGACATCAGAAATCATGTCTGTCTTTTCTTTTAAGTCTTCCCACTGTGGGGCATAGAGTAAATTCTGGCATTTCCCAGAGAGTTTTGATGAGATTTAACACAGAATTCACCCCAGGTCTCTCTGGCCCTGCTTGGGTTGTTTGTGATCTCCCTCCTGCTGTGACTCACGCTGTCCTGGTAACCCTCAGAGTTTCTGCTGAAAATGGGAAACTTTCTTTTATTTTTCATTTTTTACTTTTTTGGGGCTCATTGACTGAAGTCACCCTTTGCATTCCAAACACGGGTTTTGAGGGTTTGCAGGCGTTCTTTGCAGGAGCTCCCAGAGGTAGAGGTGCTCCCAGGCTGGGTGATACAACTTACATCAGTTTACTGGGATGGATCCTGGCCTCGTGCTCTGTGCACTTCTATCCTGGATTGCCTTTCTGTATTCTCACATCCAATGTCATGCAATAGAACAAAGATGCGAGATAATTTGCAGTCTGAAATACCTACCCTGGTTCAAGCAGACGTTATTGCCTCCAATGAGACTCAGCTTCTCAATCTCTGCTCCCTCTCCTGATGGATGATGGAGGAAATTTCAGAAGGAACCTTGGCTTAAGTGTGGTTGTCTTTTAAACTCATTCAGAGCTATGAGATAGAGATCCTCTTATTAAGTTCATTATTGCATCCTCAAAGACAAATGTTTGTGCTTGCAGACCGCAGAGCTTTCTGAAATACCAGACTGCTGTTTGTGTATTCATACTTCTGACTTTGTATGGCAGGATTAAAGCACTAATATTGACGCATGTTAAAATATATATATATAAAAGGGTATCTGTCGACAGCATTAATCCTCTTTTTGGAAGAAAATTATTTATGAGCTCAACTGCTGTCCTGGGAATGAGGCAATAATAAGGAGATAAGGGGAGGGAGTGCCTAATTCATAACCTGCAAGGTAAAGCTCGGGATCAGATTGTCAAACACAACTTACTCTTATGGAGGCATCCCCAGCAACATCCCCATCCCTGCAGGCACTTGGGTCCAGGTGGGATGGGGCTCTGGGCAGCCTGAGCTGGGGGGGGGCAGCCCTGCCCACGGCCAGGAGATGGAAGTCTCCTCCAACCAAAGCCATTCTGTGATGATTCTATGATTCTATTTTGTTTGTACTCCCAGAACTGTGGCAGAACTGTGTTGTCTTTGAACCTTTTGGTCTGTGGACACGACTCAATGCGTAGCCACCAGGAAGAAGAGAAATCTCACCCAGACTTGGGGCAGAGATGCTCCATGCTAGCAGGGGTCTCATTGACTCCAAGACATTGAGCTTATTGCTTTGGTGGTGAACTGGTCAAGGCAGGACTGGGAGGCGTGGAAACGAACATGGTAAGTTTACTGACTGTGGGTATAAATGGAAATGGGCGATTGTCAGCCACCAGAGCACCGCCACTTGTTTCATCTGTGGATATCCGTGCCCTTTTTTGCAACTTCCTCATTTTAGATATTTATCACCAGACTTTATCTGGTTTCACGTTCGTAAAGTACCGATGCAAAGACCTTAGAAACAGCTGAACGCTGAGCAATTCCATGTCACCCTCGGCATTCCTAAGTACAACCACGGCGTGGTTTAATGTGAGATGCTGGATCTGGGTGTCAGCACAGCACCACGCCGTGAGCCGCCTCTGCATGCCCTGGCAGCCTGCTGTGTACGAGCCTCAGGCAGCGCTTCTGCAGATGTACGCAGGGTGTGTTCTCACATTTAAAAATAGAGGGCCATTGGTGGCAGAGACCTGCTGGAGGCCTTCACTGGCCGTGCCGCTTCCAAGCAGCTTTGTGCTGGCAGAAGTCTGATGTTTCCAGAAGAAAACTGCAGCAGAGCACAGTTATGGAGTCACAGAATATCTCATGTTGGAAGAGACCTGTGAGGATCGCTGAGTCCATCTCCTGATTGTGATCGCTGTTTTCTCATGCACTGACTCAAGCCAAATGCCCTTAGCTTCTACCATTGCTTCCTGATATTGCTTCCTGCACCGTGAGCTTGAAGTAAATCTGAATGCCTGACCAAAGCAGTGTTATTTGAAGACCGTCATTTGTGAGGTAGAGGTTTTGCATTGCTAGAAAAATAGCAGTTTCATTCTACACATTGAAGGGGTTTGTTTTTGTTTTTGTAATGAAATCCTGTAATTGCATTATTTTGGGGAGAAATCCAATAGTTACTGTGCCAGAGATAGGAGAGTCCAGGTATTCCTCCAGCACTGGTGCAAATGGAATGGCACTGAAGGAGGTTCCAGCGTCGTCCTTCCGCTCATCCATCAGCACAGGGCTGTGAGCTGGGCCCTCCCCTGTCCGTCTGCGTGGTGTTAGCTCACAGCATGCCTGCTATTACTAAGCACTTTGACAGCAGAGAGGATATGGCAGCATGCAGCTGGTAGTAAGAATGTATGCAGATATGCAAAGCATGGCAGAACAATGCTGAGGAGGTGGGGGCCTATTGCTGAGAGCAGCAGCGTGGAGCTGCGTGGTCTCCTTTGTGTCATTGCTTGGTTTGGAGGTTGTTTCTTTGTGGGGTTTCTTGGGCAGAGCTCTTGTGTTCAAGAAATGTTCAGATGTGGCACTAACAGACATGGGCTGGGGGGTCATATTGGTGGTAGGTGGATGGTTGGGCTGGTTGGTCTTGGTGGTCTTTCCCAGCTTGGTGATTCTATGATTCTGTGATTTCTGTTCTGTCAGTCCATCGGGGTTTTTTCTGTTTGCTTGTTGGTTTTGTTTCATGAAACACGTACCAATGTTACACTGCAAAATGGTTTGCAGTATGAACCCTCTCCCAAGACACATTGGGCATATTGGGAGGGCTGAAATCCCTTTGATATACTCGTGGCCAAAAACAAAGACCAGACCCCATCTTGTTCTTTTAATGGGAATGCCAAGGGGAATGAAAGAGGACATATTCATGCAGTGGTATGAATAGGTCAGATACAACAGTGTTGTTATGATTAATGTTCAGAACGTACCTGAACTCCTACGGCAGTCTATCAGCCTTCCTTCATCTCTCTGCAAGGCTCTTTGGAAGGGCCAGCTCTTCCTTTGTAGGAAGTGCTGTGTTTTGATAAAAACAAAACAGAAAAAGGAGAGGTTTCTTTTTTAAATGAAGGACGTCCTCGTTTAATGAGGCTTGAAGTGTTTACAGGTGTTTCCTCACCAGTTCAAATTTAGCGGCCCCAGGGAGTTGAGATTCTCATAAGGCAGGGGCGAACACTCCAGTTTTGTGTTTTAAAAGCTGTGAGCATTTGAAGGGCCCCACAGACACGGAGCGTGTGTTGGTTTGGTCTGGTGGAGTGCCTGGAGCCCAGGATTGCAACAGGACGGTCACTGGACATGAGCTGAGGTCATCCACAGTGCCACAGATGGTCAACGCCTTGTTAAAAACCCCGTTTGTTTTTCTGCTGTGTGACCCCATTTTTGCAAATCTCCATCAAAAGCCCCATGAAGGCAGGTTCCAGGCTCGCTGGTTTGTTTAAATGGATCTCGGTGATCTCATGTGCTGCTCGATGCTTAATATCTTCCAGAGCGCGTTTGGTCTTGGAGGAACTTTTTAGCGTCATGAAGAACAACACAGAGCAAGGGAAAATATAGAAGTAGTTGTGGTTGGAGGATGTGATGACATCACAGAGTTCAGCGGGAACACGGGGCTTTTAAAAAGCTGAAAGAAACATCCTGACACTCAGTGATCGCGTCCCCCGAAAGGGAGTCAAGCCCACGTTGGCTCTTAAAGAGCCCAACTGTCTTCAGCCAAGACACAAAAGGCTCCGTCCCACCACTCAACATGCACTGGCAAAAATGTAAGTGAGCTCCGGTTGCCTTTGTTTTTGTGTCTGATACAAGAGGTGTGATGGATAAGTGAGGGTTAGCGTAGCATGGGAGAGATGCTCAGGAAGAGATGAGCTCTCAGGAGAGACAAATGAGAACGTGATGCTGATTTTCCAGCAGGGATATCAAGACAGCATTGCTGCTTTGTTGGCATTCATCACTATGAATCAAGTGGAAGACTATGATTCATAAAAACAATAACAGGATGCAGGTATTATATCAAAGGTTACGGTGGTTTACATACCAGAGAATTTTCCTTTTTAAAAGTGAAACCTGTGAGAAAGCTTATTTCTGTGTCTTTTTTGATATGTACTTTTTTTTTCTACATCTAATAATAAAGATAAGGAGCGAAGGCAATACGGTTATGAGTTTACAGGAAATCAGTTTTCTTGTTTTCAAGATAATTTCACTACTCTTGGCCCACCTTTGCTCAGATAATTTGCCGATCCCAATGCAGGTAGGTGTTTGCTCTGCTTCTGCAGCTCTTTCATTCTCACTGTGTGGATCTGTAGGCTGGATGGGGCCCTGGGCAGCCTGACCTGGTGGCCCATGGCAGAGGGCTGGGATGTGGTGGGCTTTGAGGTCCCGTAAGCCGTTCTGTGATGCTGTGACTGTGTTCATTTCTCCATCCTTGGCACTGCACAATGCCGTCCTTTAGCCTGGAATAATATAATGTGTCTGACTGGAAGAAGCTTCTTTCTTAATGTCTTACTTGACATGGAACTAACACCAATCTTTTTCTCTCTGACGTTGCAGCCTGTAGGTTATACAGAGATGGGTTTACGATGCCCGCGTCTTTCTGAACTTACTAACATTTAATTCTCTTCTCCCTGCTAAGAGCTTCTGTTACTCTTTTCACTCAGGAACTTTGGAAGCTCAGATGTGTATTTGTGAAATTACATTGTGCAAACTTTAAGTCCTGAAGTAAGAAGCCCAGGCTGCTTACATTGTGGTGTTTCAGTTTGTGTGATGAGTAGTCAGCAGCAAGCGGGAGCTCTATGGTAACACACCTTGTTTCCGATGATCTCGTGCTGTTTTCAGAACCAGTAGGTATATGATGTGAAACATGCTGCAAGGGTCAGATGTTATCTTCCATCTGAGAAGCCTATCAATCTTCTTTTTATTATTACTTCTTTTTTTTTTTTTTTTACTGCAATGACAAAGCAATACTAACAAGCTGTGTTGTAGGTAGAAGCAAACTGGCAACTGATAAGGTGTTTTCCCCATACGTTGTTTCTTTGACACATGCAATGCTTTCACAGGTAAGCAGGAATTGCAAGCCTGCAGCAGAGGAGATCAAAACACATGTTTCTAAGTCACCCATCTCCCCACTGGGAGATTCCAGCCAACACCATTTCTGCCCATCCCATTGTCCCCCCCTGCCTCTGAGCTCCCAAGGACTGGACTCTCCCACCATAGCAATGCTCCCTGCTGTTCTGAAAGACAGCAACTGCCTGCATTTGGCTTCTCTTGCTGCAGATGGAGCAGCCAGGCTTCCCTCTGCCCCTGGGCTGGTCACTGGATCAGCCTGGCATTGTGTTAGTTGAGACATGGAAGGAGTTGAGAGCAGGTTGCTGCCTGGTTGCTGTTGGTGTCGGTTGTGTTATGGCATGGTTGGGGTTCCTCAGTCTCAGAGGCCTTTGGTTTTTTTGCTAAACCTAACATAGGATCATTTTTTCAAAGTTACGCTGTTATCCTGCTTCTTTCCTGTTGCACTGCAGCGATGAATCACTTTGGCTTCAGGTGTAGCCATGAGCAGTGCTCTGATAGCAGCTGGGGTGCATTTACCTTCTCTGTGCTGACTCTCCACACATTGCTGAGCGTGGTGTTGGGTCTCAATGATTTCAGTGGAAGTCAGACTTTGTGATAGTTCTGTGAGTCCCCATTTAGTCCCACTGTCCTCTGCCAGTGTGACCAGCTGTGGGCTCGTGTTTCCTGCACCATCTGGTTCAGAGCACCTGTGATGCACAAATGGATGTCCTTGTGCAAGTCACGAAGCCATTAGTAAGTCCAGCTCTGTGTGCTGTAAAGCTGCTGTACAGCAGCTTTCTGTGGGCTGTTGCTCTGTCCCACTCCTGGATCCATTCACTGCCTGTTGCCCTTTCCTGATGGTTCTCAAATTAGAAAGCAGCTTCAAGCACTATTCAGAGTTAGACTAACAGAACGGTTTGGGTTGGAAGGGAGCTGAAGGCCGCCTGGTGCCGCTCCCTGCAGCGCACAGGGACACCCACAGCTCAGCAGTGCTCACAGCCCCGTCCAGCCTGACCTTGGCTGTCTGCAGGGACGGGGCACCACCGCCTCTCTGGGCAACCTGTGCCAGCGCCTCATCGCCCTCACTGCCAAACCTTCCTTACATCCAGTCTAATATTGGCTTTTCACAGCTATGTTTGCAATTGAGCTCAGGGCACTGCCAGCTGGAATGCGAAGGTAGAGGCAGAAATGTTTGCTCCATCCGTACCTGGATGAAAGGAGGCTGCACAGAACTCCTGGCAGCGTCCTCCATCAGGATGCCTCAGCATGGATTTAAATGGTTTTTAGCAGAGTGGGAGGTTTCAAAAGGAATGGTATCATCCCCATATTCTGCCCTAGCCATGAAATAAACAAAACCAAAACAAGAGAAGATCAAAACAAACAAACTGAGAATCGAAGATGAGGTGATTTGAATAGGTGTCACCTCACCAGAGGGCATTTCTCGTGGGCACTTCTGAAGGGCAGTTTCCTGCTTCTGCAGAGGACCTTTCAGCAGAAAGTCCTACAGGAACAGGACAGCCCTCAGCCCTGCAGTGACCAGAGGCCCTCGTCCTCTGGGGATTCTCGCATGGCTGGAGATGCGCACTGTGCCGTGACGCTGCGGGAGCTTCTGTGCAGGAATGGGGCCCAGAGCTTCCGCTGTGCAAAAGGCACAGCCTGAAAGCATCCCCTCCCACGGCAGGAGCAAAGTGACTGTAGGGGCTTCCCAGCTTTTGGCAGGATTCTGCTGGATGGGAGCCGGCCGCTCAGCGGAATGGGAAATTTCTATTGCACAGCACCTTCCCTCTTACGTGTCCGTATGCAGATAGCAACTCCATGTTGTATTTTGATGACAAAATGAGCATACTTCTCATGCAAATTTCTTCTGTTATGAGAGGGCATGCGAGCAGGTTGCAATTCGGCAAGTGTTTCACATTGACGTGGTATTTTTGGTGAGGTCAAAAAGCTTTGGACACAACTCCTACTCAAGTCCTGTGGGACCGGTGCAGGTAAGGCAGGATTCCCGTGCAACAGAGAGATGTGAATCTTCCCCTTTGCAAACCTCTTCCCAAATGCTTTTTAAGCCCCTGAAGCCTTTTCTGCCCTCAACAGATGTGGGCTCTGTACCGCCTTTCTGAAAGTATCAGATAATGAGACCGAGAGGTGAAACTGCAATATGTCGCATCTTGTGAGTCTTAATTTTGGTAAAACCCCACTGGGAAAGATGGATAGCATGAAAGTCGAGCCCATCCATGCTTTACGAAGCAGGTGTCGGGCTCTACGAATGACCACATCGGCAATTAAATGGAAGGCTTGCATTACTAAAATGGAAAGAGTATTCTGGGCTGGGAGGAATTGGGACATGCGGGTGAGACTTATGGTTAAGCCACTTTCTGTCTATCTCAGCTTCCCCTTTGTAGCAGGAGTTCTCTTATTCTGAAACAGATCATTTTTGGCAGCCCTCACCACCACACGGCCAATGCAGCCATCTCCCCATGCTGGAGCAGCAGAGCACAGGTTCTGCACAGTGCTCCCATGGCTTCCACTCCTTTACATCTCCTGGAGGTGAGGAGGAGACCTTTCCTACAAGGGCGGTGTGCAGAAGCATGCAGGAAGGATGCAGGCAGGGCATGATGGCACATGGATCTGCCAGAACCCAAGGCTGCTTTGGTGCTTGGCCATCTTCCACTTGTAGACAAAAACGAAGGGACTGGGCATAATTGTGCAATAAAGTCCTGTGGCACTGATCTGTTTCACTCCGTTGGGTAGCTGTAGCGCTAAGCAACTGAGCAGAAAGAGACCAAACACCGCACTGAGTTGTTGGTAAGCAAGTGAAATATTTAGTCAATTGATTTAATTACACTAAGGAGCCTCCCAAGTTCATTTCCTTATGCTGAGCAATGAACCATCGCTTGTTTCCTTTGCTCTTGCTCTGAGTTTCTCTGTTTATTGTACAGCAGATTCTCTGCCCAAGATGTTTGCTTAGCACTTTGCATTTAACTAAATCCTTATTGAGATACACACCCTCAGCGTGGCAAGCAGTGTAGGAAATAACCTGCTCTGGTCCAGTTCTCTTACTCTCTTGTCTTATAAAAGAATGGCAATACCTCACAGGAGATTTGGGATGTGTCAGAAGCACGGAGTGACTTCTGGCCTCCAAATGGACACACCACACCAACACCATGGCCTGGGGCCATCATTTCAAGTGGAGAGACCACTGATGAGATGACAAAGTTGGTAATGACCAAAGGCAATATGGGGAAATGCTACATTTGGAGTTTCTTCATGGTTTATCCACACAAAAAATGCTGTGTGCTCTGTTTGTCAGCCAAAGAATGGTCTGTTGGTCGTGAGTCCCAGTGCCTACCAGCCAGCCCAACCTGTTGCCATCAACACAACTCCCTAAAATTTTGCTAGAAATAAGTCTGTCTGCTTTGATCGTGACTCGTTTCCAAGCAGCAACAGCTGCAAACCAATGCTACCAGATTGAATACTTCTAAAAAGCATTCTGAAGAATGCTGAGTCTGAATTGAATACAAAATGCAGACAAACGTAGTGCAACGTTTGGTCTCTTGCTTCAATATTCCTCAGTGGACATTGTTTTTTTTAATGTAAAAAGATCTGAATTAGAGTCAAAGCATGCAAGCAATGTATCCAAAGCTACACCTTATTTTTCTCCCCTTTCTTTTGAACTTTTTATTCACCAAAGTTCACTGCACACCACAGTGGTGTCAACAGCTGCTCTATGGAATTTTCAAGACCGAAGGCCAAATGTCAGTGGTTTGTTAACTAAAATGCAGTTTTTTCTTGTTATCCAAGAGGAACCGTTTGCTTTTTGGCATTAATGTAAATAAGAAAAAGATTTCTGTTGTATTTCTTTTCAATTTTCTTTTATTACATTGGAAGGAAAGAGCAAAATGTTTGCTCTGGTTGCACTGACTGGTTGATAGCTTATCAAACATAGAGCACGAGCACAGAGAAAGGGAACTTTGTGAAGCGTGTTGCTTGCTTCTCTGCAATCTCAACAAGCTGAACGGCAGAGCAGCTTTCAGTCCAACACCTCCATGGGCTTTTTGCTGTTGTCTCTGATGCATAGCACTGCAGGGAGTGCTGTGTTTGGTACCGTTTGGTGCTCTCCATCCACTTGGAGAGATTGCTCCGAAGGGTTTGGGGTTCATGCCAGGCTTTTCTCAGCAATCAGCAAATGCAGCGAGTGATAACATTGATGAAAGGAGCTTGGTTTTGTGAGGCGGCCTGACCAAAGCGTTGCAATGAGCTCAAATAAGTTTGCACACAGAAACTATGGCCAATCCTACTGGCTGGGTCGGGTTCCCTCTCTTCTCTCTACGCTTCCAATGCTTTGTACAGTGCTCCAGCTCCAGCAAACAGCTGCAAATTGGACCTAGTGCCTGGTAAGGAGGATGTATGGCTGTTGTGCTATGCACGCTTGAGCACCAAACTACATGATGCTGTTCTTTATTTGTTTTGGGTTTGTTGGTGCATTGCAGCTCAGTGTGACAGTCTTGATTAAGCATGAGTTCAAGGTAGGCTTGATGGTTCATTAAGGCAACCCTGATAGAAGAGGCTGGAGAGCACTCAGTCCAGCTGCGTTCTCACAAGGATGCTCAGTGGTCATCACTTCCCAAAATATTGTAGAAGATCAAGTTATTTTGCTTTATGAGGAATTGCGCACTGAAGGCCAGGCTCAGTTTGCTCTATTTTTTCTGTGCTGCTCAGACATGGTGCACACTTGAGCAGTGGAAAAGCAGCTGTGCTAGCATTATTTTTATTTCTGGAGGTCAGCTTGGGGGGAACCGAAATATGTCATGCAGACTTTGGTTTTATTTCTTATCTTTTTTTTTTTTTTTTTTTTTTTTTTTGGTTACTCTGCTTACACCGGAAACTGTGAATAGGTATATTTGTCAGCTTTTACAGTAAATTTCTTCTCTCCCATCCCCCAAACCTGGAGCCAGAAACCGCCATCCTTCCCCACCCAGCCCTGCAGGGAGGAGCTGTGAGGCAGTGTGGACAGGGCTTTGCCAGGGGGACGTTCAGCCCCTCGTGCACCCTACAGCATGCTGGCTTTGGCAGAGCCAATGGCTTTGCTCGCCATGAACAGCAGCAACACTTCCATACCAATGTCATGCAAGAGCAAGAAGCACCTTTGGGATGGGTTTCATTTCAGACCTGTCCTGTATTCAGTTTTCAGAGTTATCAGTGCAGCCCGCAGCACAGTGCTGTGTGGCACTGCCTTTAATTAGCCTTAGAGAAATTAATGCCAATTAACATTGTAAAAGCAGAGCTGTATTCAACAAAGTGACTTTCATTCCCTGTGCTGACTGCATCTCCAAAGCCACAGGAGCTATGAGAATGCAGGCAACCTGCTTTGAAGTTCCACAAGGAATGGTCAGAGAGGGCAAGTGCACATTAGGCAAAGGCTGAGAAATCAGCTCTGCTTCAGCTATTGCTCCAAAGCATGGAATTTTCCCTATATGCATAAGGGTAACAAACAAAGAGAGCAGTTCCACGCATAACTGTGGTGTTATCTGCTGCCAGAAGTATTTATAATGGCCTCTGAAGATTTTGTGATCAAATGGTATGTGGTGGGGCTGAAAGAGCAAACTGGTGGTATTGCAAAGCTGAGGGAAAGTAAGGATTTCGTTTTTAAAAGGAGTCCAAGCAGAAAAGTTAACTCTGTCAAACATTTTTGAGGTTCTCCTGTAATTTTAGACTCAGTTTTTCATTTTGTTCTGCAGTGCAAAGCACAGATCGTAAATCTGAATCAACGCTTCCTACTGGGATGGTGCTTTTCATGGATGATTTGAGCTGGATATCCAGCTGGGCTTCTTCATAAAGCCAACTGCAATCCTCAGAAATGGAAACTTACCAACTGACATGCTTACAGACCGAAGGGCAGCAGCAAGTCTTGCTATCAGTGCTTCTGAAAACACAGGGCCTTCCTGAGCTTTGCTATCCCGTGGTCTCCTGCTCTAAAATGCCTCCAGTGACACTGTGTGTAATGTTGGGTGATAATATCTGCTGATGAAGAATGGTGTTTGCTCTGCTCTCGTTGTCTCATCATTTACCTTGCTGAGCCCTCCCTGCCTGCTTCCAAAAGCCCTGGGGCACACGTGTCCAATGAGAGATGGCTGCAATGGCTGTCCAAGTGGGGATGCTCTTCACGTTTGGTTCTGTTTGCTTTTGAATAACATGTTTAAACCATAGCATATTTCTCCCAAATCTCTCATCACCCAGCCTGCAGTTCACTCGGACCCGTTTGCCCTCCAGGTTTTGTAAATCACTGCACTGCACACCTGTGGCACAGGAGCAACAGGAAGCAGACAGACCAAAGGGAAAGTGCATCATGTAGGAGTGTTCTGCAGGAAAACGGGGGCAAGAAAAGACAATAAACACCACCTGTCTCTTTGTTTCTTTTTCTTTTTTCCAGCTTCTGCTTCAGAACAACAGCCGCAGCCTCGCCCCTACCAAGGGGTCCGCGTCAAAGAGCCAGTGAAGGAGCTATTGAAAAGGAAGCGGGGAAATGCTCATAATGCCACTGCAGCAGCAGCCACAACGGTAGGAGGAAGAAAGAAATGCAGGAGCAAAGCTTGGTTGGGTGGCTGGGAGGCCCTGGCACGGCTTGGTGCAATGAGAGAAATCTTTGTATCACCAGAGTGTTCAGAGATAGCAGAACCTCTCGTTACCTGGGGATACTATGAAATATGTTTTAAATGCAATATATAAGTTAGATGTAAATGAAGACCATGTTTTGAGCGACCTGGGAGTTGTCCCTGCCTATAGCAATTGGGTTGGAAGTATGTGATCTTAAAGGTCCCTTCCAACCCAAAGCCTTCTATGGAATAAATACATTTGCACCTTTACAGTTCTGGGCAGCTTCAGCCGCCATTGATTTGGCTGAATGGAGACAGGGAGCTGCTTATGGTATTAATCCTTGGATATTTTTCTTCTCTTTTCTAGGTCGTTTTGCCCCACCAGCCCCTCCCTTCCTACACACCAATGGGTAATACTTCCTTGATTTTCTACCTGTTTCTCAGCCCCGCTGCAAGGAAAGCCACACAGAACTGAGCTGTGACCCCCTCCTGTCTTCCAGGCCAGCCGTGTATCGATGTGGATGCTGCTGCCCCTCCACTGCCCAGCACAGAGGAAGGAGCACTGTGTTCCAGCTGGCTCTCCCAGCCCTCTCCCTCATCCCTGCAGCCTCTGACTCAGTGGACCACTTACCCCGACTACGTGTCCCACGAAGCAGCCAGCTGTCCTTACACTGCAGACATGTACATCCAGCCTATGTGTCCCAGTTACACGTTGGTTGGGCCTTCGTCTGTACTGACTTATGCTTCTCAGCCACTGATCACCAATTTCGCGGTAAGTCGAAGGCACCTGAGTATAAATGATGGCAAATTCCCCACCTTCCAAAAAGCGTCAATGGGGAGTGCAGGATGGAACTCATATGATTTAATTATTGTCATGCAGCTCATTCTTGCATGTATTCTCATAGTGTAGCCCCTTCTTGGGCATTGGAGAGCTTTGAAGTTGCTTTGAAATTGGAGACTCCTCTGCCATTTCTCCAGCTCTCCACACTCCTTTAGCACTTTTCATGTTGCTGATACAGCCTGTTCTTGCTGCTGTCCTGAGAAATGAGTCATCTCCCACCATGTCAGCAACAGGGCTGCCATTGCCTTGAGTTTGTTTGACTCTGTGGACGTTATTTATTGTCAGGGAGTATTGTTTGCAGCTCAGGAATGTTAATGGGGAGTGTTCAGCTTACTGTTGTCATTGGTTCCAGCTGGAGTAGGGGTTCTTCATCTTGGATTTGCAGTAGCTGAGAAAGCTGCAGTTCTGAGTGGATTTACTCTATGGCTCATAAACACTATTGTCAAATCAAGTACTTAGAATCATAGAATGGCTCAGGTTGGAACTCAGAGATCACCCAGTTCCAACCCTCTGCCACAGGCAGGGCTGCCACCCATTGGTTCAGGCTGCCCAGGGCCCCATCCCACCTGGCCCTGAGTGCCTTCAGGGATGGGAGGGAAGCTGTCCCTCCAGAGGTCTGTGCAGTCGTCATGGGATTCTTCACTATTTAATTCCAAATATTTGGAAAAAAAACAAAACAAAACAAAAACAAACAGAAGTGAAGGGAATTCTGGGAAACACCCACTGGACATGCCAGGAAAATGGCTTGGTAAAAAAATGCTGCCAAAGAAGGCAGCATTCAGCGCAGAGCAGAGCTGTCTCGTGGCCTTGCAGCGAGGGTGGGACTGGGAACAGAAAGCTGAAGGGAACTCGTCATGAGCACAAGCTACTGCCCGCGAGCACCTGGGACACCCACAGCCACTGCTCTCATGGGAGCCAGCGTGGGAAAACTGTCACCTTGGGTGTAAAGCTTCCCCAGAGAGACAGGAAAAGGGATGTTCAAAGTGAGACTGAGCATCCTTCCCCTCGTTTCCCATCCTCCCCGCGCCCCACCCTACGGCCAATGGTTTTATTCTGTCCAATGTCTCTCCTTCCCACCAGCCCCGCAGCAGCACCCCGGCCGTGGTGCCCCAGCTGGAGGTGACGGAGCAGCAGCCACCCATCACCTACTTCCCGTGGGCTCAGCCCCTCTCAGCACTGCCAGCCCCCACCCTGCAGTACCAGCCGGCCTCTTCCACGCTCCCCACGCCGCAATTTGTGCCCCTGCCCATCTCCATCCCTGAGCCGGCCCCGCAGGAGCTGGAGGACGCCCGCAGGGTCATCGGCACACTGCCCCTAGAGAAGCTGCTGCTAGAAGATGAAGACAATGATACGTATGTGTTAAACCACGCTCTCTCTGTTGAAGGGCTTTAAGCTGCACATCTTGGGTCCGGTCCTCGTATACTCAATGCTCCACCACGAGCACTGAGTACAGAGGAAACCCGGCCCAGAGTTGACTTGGGGTTTTATTGTCCGCCTCCAGCACACCGTGGCTGAGTGCTGAGTGAAACTTGCTTTGTCCTGGGGCCCAGCACCCAATGTCTGTGCTGTTACAGCCTCAGCACGAGGTGACTTTCATCTCACAGCCTGAAATGGACAAACCGTAGTGTAGCCCTGGCCAACTGCAGTGTTGGGTGAGGGTGCCCTCGCCTCTAAGTGTTGGCAAGACCTTTCCAGTAGGACTGCTTTCTAGAGCTAATGCCTTGTGTATGTCTTTTCTCTGTCTGTAGAGCTGTTTATGCCGCTGTTTGGGGGCCTGCATTGATACTTTTCAAAATTGAACCACCCCTTTGGAAAACAAGAAAATGTAGAAGGTCCATTTGTTCTACTGGTGCAAATGGGTGCATCAGTCCAAAGATGAAAAGTCGATACAGTTGAACTACATGACAGTGCAGTAGGGTTTCCCTGTGCGCAGAGCAATGCAAAGTGGCCTGGGTGAAACCTCTGATTTCACGTGAAGGTGAAACTCAAAGCTCTCACCTTCTCTGTCCCTGTAAGACAGGTGTGTAGGCATTGAAGGACAGTGCTTTGCAGTCGTGATCTTTCATCTACAGAGTGCTTTTTGGACTCTGAATTTTCATCTCGGAGATGGGGGGCTGGTTCTGTGGCTGGCTGGTAATGCTGCGTGTTCTACCAATGGACAGATCCTGGTCCCACTGATGCCACCGAGAGTTTTGCCTGAGTCAGGATTGCACAGCATGGCCCCATATCAGCAAATCATTGAGAAGACAGGGTCTTCCAAAACCTGGACTTCAGCCTAACGAGAAATTTGTGACATTACTATTAGCTGGCAATACTTTCATTTCTTCTGTAGCATTTGAGTACGAAGTTGTCGGTGTGCTGAGCCAGGGAACCTTAATGACCTCTCTTGTGCCTTACTGTTATGGAAAGTTCCTCTGCGTTGTAGTTTCCCAAGCTCACAGGTGCACACATTCTCTCTTATGGCTTTCTGGTTTTCTTTCCCAGACAACGAGTAGCTTTACCTTTTCCTCCGATGCCGCTGTAAATCTTGTTGTTGATGTTCAGGAGTGCCATGCCACAAACATACTTGCAGATGTACCCCCTTCTGATTTTTGTTTATCATTTCCTTAAAAAAACCTGGGGGCTCTTGGCTGGTGAACACAATTTCTCTGGGTTTTTCTGCTTTCTGAAGCCCAGGATCCTTAGCTGAATTCAGTACTTGTGAGATTATGCAAAGTAATTTATTGCACTGCTGACTGCCTGGTGCCCAGCACTCCAGCTGCCACCCAGGCAATATTTCAAGTAATGTTTTATGCCTGAGTGAGGTTTGCAAGATCAGAGCAAAAGTCTTGAGGACTTTCAAAGCGTATTTCATTGTTTAATATTCACAAATCTAGAAACAAGAGCAACAGATCATGTAAGTGATCATAAATCACTTGAAAATAGCAGAAGTCCAGGCGCACCGAAATTAGTGGCTTACATTTGCAGAAAAACCCAGCAAAGAAATTAATTAGAAGGAGTTTGGTTCACCGCTGCTTACTCCAGTTTTATGAGTACAGAATCATTCGGTAAAACTGGGATAACAGGTGTGAGAACCAAACCTGTGGTTGCTAAGATTGCATTTTAATTCCTTTCACTTCAATGTATGTAAATTCTGTGTGTGGATACCAAAGATGAACTACTTCAGAATTTCTTTCTGGGTTGTTCTGGTTAGAAAAAAAAAAACAAATTATTCTCCAATAAAGATCTACAGTAACTTCCATACGCCTGGAGTGTTTTATTTCCTATGCAGAAGTATAACCCAGCGCTGGGTTAGCAGTCAGCCCATGAGTACAGCCCAGAGCCCAAGGAGCTGTTGGGCTTTCTGCTAGTTTTGCACGTTGAGGCAGGCTAAAGAGGATCTCTGTGGTCCAAATGTGGGCTGGGAGCACTGCTTGCACTGCACTGCTGCTGTTTGGGTGTTGGTTTGATCACAGTTACCTGCTATTGGTAACCATGTAGATGCATGGTGTGCACTCACAGCTCATGCTGAGCTTGACTGCAAACCAGACCACCCGTGAAGTTGCATTTCTACTTCCTAAAATTGCAAGCTGTGGCTCTGGGGTACAAAATCACCTGGGGGAAGAAGTGACTGCCCACTGGTTTATATGACTAAGAAGTGTTGAATGTTGCTGTCTGGAGAGGAGCAAATTGGGCTGCTAGGGTTCCTTGTGCCAAGGTTTTATGCTACCATGGCACGCAGGGCTGTGTGACCCCAAACCAGTGGGAGCCCCAAAGCTGAGTTTGTGGGGGACTTTGGTACATCGTGGCACAAGTGTCAAGCTCACCCGAGGGAAAGTGCTGATGTGGAAAGGAGCCAGCAGGGCAAAACCCAGGGTGCTGAGGGATTGGGAAAGCAGCAGTTATATTGAGGTAGGAAACCCAGTTCCTTGGAAATGGGGTTATCTGAACCTCAAGCCCTTGGGGTTATGGCATAGTTTGGGGGAACTCTGGGTATAAAACCCCCAAAGCAGTGCTGTTACCCTGTAAAACTGTTTGCTTCCAGGGTGATCCATGGCCAAGCAGTGATCGATGTCTTTATTTACTGTCTTAGAATTCTACATATTTATGCAGCTAAAGGTATGAGGGCGTTTACGTTGGCAGCTGCAGAGCGCATGAAGGAGCTGCGGAGACTCGATGCCAAGGAACACAGAGGAAAGGTAATGCTGAGCACCTCCTGCAAACAGCAGCATTTGGGATGGCGCAGGCTGCGTGGCTGAGAGCAGCCGATGCTGTGAAAATCCCCTTCAGCCTCCCTGTTACTGCAGGAGTAGCTCTGAGCAGTTGCTATGCCTTGCTCTGGCGCTCTGAAAGCGCTGCACTTGATTTGCCATCTGAATTAGGGCAGGAGAGCTCAGCAGGAGCTGGAAGTGCCCCTCACTCGCGGTGCCATGGGCTCTAAATCTGCCTGTGAGCTCCCCTCGGTTTGTGCACCACAACCCTTGGCCTTCTAGATCCCATCCGACCCAGCCTGCTCTCCCTTTCTTTTTTTATGATCACATCTCCTTCCAGACTCTCAGGGCTCTCTGCTGTGCTGCCATTCCAGACCCCGCTCCTGGTGGCCGTCACTGCCCGGCAGCCAGCGATCGTCCACGATTTGATCCAGGCAGGAGCAGATGTCAATGCTGTAGACAACAAAGGGCAGTCAGCTCTGCACCTTGCTGCAACGTATGGGTATGCCCAGGTTCTCCAGGTAGGAAAAGCTTTCATGGTTTAATTGCTAGCAATGTAAGCCTGTGTTTTTGTCTCATTATCGCCGTCTTTAAGGAACTTTCAGAAGGGAAGATGTCTGTAAGCAATTAAGATTTTAAGAGGAGAAAAAAGCGTATCTTTCCATTCATGTTAGGATCTTCCCAGGGTTTTTTTTCCTAATTTAGGATTTGCAGCCAACACCATCACAGAAGGAATCTCCCCAGCTTTTCTGTAGGGGAGAATAAATTCTTCCTGCTGAGCTGATGGCGGGCTGGATGAGGTGGGCTCACTTGGGTTGAACAAGACTGCAGGGTGTTGGATAAACCCAAAGCTATGGGATATACAGCTCCAGCAGCCATCAGTTCTGCTTGGCACACGTCCTGGGAGGGCCAGCAGCAATGGTTAATGTATAACGCGGGCAGTTCTTTGGAAAGCAGGTGTTTCATTTAAAGCACAGTGCATTCAGATAATTCCATCAGTGCCAACTGGAGTGGTGGAAATGAATCTGTTTTATTCTTCTCAGTGTTTATTTTTTAAACATAAAAAGAGGAATCAGGGGGAGCAAGGAATAGTGCACGTGGGTTTGCTCCTCGCCCGGGTCACAGGCATGACATGCAATGGCATTTTTTGGTTTTGTTCTTCTTAACACCTGAGGCGTCTAATCTCTACACATCAGCTCAAAGCCTCTTGTCAGTGTTTGCTTTGGGTATATTTTATTCTTGTTATGATAAGAGAGCACAAGCCCTAACGTTTCTGAGTAATCCTTCTCCTTGTCCAACACGACGGCGTTGGGATGAGTCACCACGCAGCCAAATCCCCATGCAAGATGCTGTAATGAACAACATGCTGCCTTCAGTCCAGAGCAAAATATACACAATCTGTGGTAGTTCAGACAAGGAGCTATTTGGCAGCATCACATCAGATCTGTTCTTTAAGGCACTTCTTTTGCTCCCTTCTAAACCCAAGCAATGCTCACCTGCAGACCACTGTGTCACTCCTGCATGCTTATCCTTGCTAAGAGTAACTTGGAACAAACGTGAAGCGGTGTGACCAAGGTATGCCTGAGCTCAGTGCAGGGGAAGTGTGAGGAAGTTAACACCCTTGAGCTCAATTTTAGGAACTGAGAATCTAGTAGAACCCAACGGGGTATTCTTGGGTTCGTTTTAGGGGACTTAGGGAACGTGATCACCTTGTGCAAACCTGAGTGACATCCCTGCTAGGAAATAGGACTCAGCGTGCCAAAATCCAGTGCCAAACTGCTTAGCCTACAGTTAAATTATAATTGCCTCTTGTCTAATTGCCTCTTCTGGGGGGGTTGGTTGGTGGTCTTTTCCCATCTTTTGTTAGCTCCAACTGTTGTGATTCAGACAACGTTCTGCTGAGCTAAAATTGTCCCAATTCTCTGTCACTCCCAGGTGATTCTTTCACAAGGCCTCCCTCTCGATTTAGAAATGAAGGATTTTGAAGGTGAGACCTTATGCACAAGCATTTTATCGTGGTCCTAAAAGAAAGAAAGAAAGAAAGAGGTGATGCCATTGATGTCAGTGGCTGATGCTGATGTGCATTGGGGTCGGCTGATGTGTGGGGTGGTGGGCTCAGGGGCATCGTTGCTGGAAGCTCAAATGTCACAAAGTTCAGTGGTGCCTCAGTGCACACACGGAGCCAAGTACACACCAAAATGCCCCCAGATTGTCTGTGCAGCCAGAGTGGGACTTTTGGAATTAGAGAAAGGTCTCGGGGCTTAAAGACACCCTTGCCAAGATATGTGCATAGTATCTTTGGTGTGGAAAGGACCCTTAAAGGCTACCTGGTCCAACTCACCTTCAGTGAGCAGAGACACCCACAGCTCCATCAAGAGCTCACATCCTCCCCTTATGGTGCTGCTCTGATGGGGACCATTGTCACTCCCTCCCCAGGCCATACCCCTCTGCACTGTGCTGTCCTGGCCCACAACACACTGCTGCGGGACCGGGGCCACCTGGCACTGCCAGAACAGCAGAGTGAAGAGCTGCAGCACCAGAGCTGGGAGCTGGAGACCTGTGTGCAGCAGCTGGTGCAGGCGGGAGCTTCCATCTACAGCCGGGTAGGAACTGCTTCTCCCCATCCCTCATTTGTCCCCCTGCCGTTTGTTGGTACGGGGATTCTGCCTTAAGATGCTCTGCGGAAAGATTCTCATTTGGTTGTGTTTGTCTGCACTGAAATAGGATGTGAAAAGCAACAAGACAGTTCTTCATTACACCGTCCAGGATGGGAACGTCTCCCTGCTCCGCTACTTCCTGGAGCTGAATGCTTTCAAATCCAAGGACTTCATCAACAGCAAGGTGAGCCCAGACAGAGGCAGCGCAGAAAGCACTGGGGTCCTGCAGAAAGCACTGGCTCCCCTCCCAGACATGTTTTTGAGCAGCAGAGGCACTCACATGGGACTTAGTGCAGGGCTTGGGCTGAGCCCTGGCAGCAAGACAGATAATGGGGGGGAGAGGGATGTGGGAAATGATTTCTTGGGGAGGGATGGGAACTTTGTGACACTGGGCTGAAGGTTAGCGTTAGGGTTAGGGTTAAGGTTAAGAAAATAGCTCAGCAGTGATGTGATGCTTTGCTGTTGGCAGTGTTTGGGGCAGCTGTGTGTTGGTAACCTGCCCTGGCAGTGCCCTGCACAGCAAGGGACAAAGCTCCAGTGCTAAATGCATGGAGTCGGGCACTGCTTACAGAGCTGAGATATTGCCTCAGTGTGGTGTTTCTATGGGCACGGCCATCCTGGATGAGCTGGGAGCTTCCCAGCCCTGCTGCTGTCACCCCCCCCCTGCCTGCCCCACGCTTCACCTCTGAGCAGACACAAAGCAGTGACACTATCTTGCAGCTCCATCAGCTGCACCCATCCTCCTGAGCAGAGATCCTGACATTCCTGTGTGTGCTGAGCAATTGCCCTGCACTGTCAGCCAGAGATCCCAGCAGCTGCCACCTCTGTGCAGCTCTGGGGAAAGATTTGGGTGCTCCTGCAGAGCTGAGCTGTTTGCTAGGGCACAAAACCCAACCTTTTGGGCTGGAGGATGGGAAAACATGTTTGGTTTAGTGTGTACGCACTGGGTTTTTATTTTTCTTTTATTGCATTCTTTCTGTATCTTTTAAGAGCCATCAGGCACGTGCTATCTTGTCCAGGGGAGTCTGCTGTTGTCTCTTGATCACAATGCTGGGAGAGCTTCTTACCGCGATAGGATCGCTTGGAGCTTTGTTGGTGGGATGCCTGGGACAGGGAGAAATGCAGTGGCAGGGTTGGCTGCTCCTATCTGGGCTTCCTACCTCTTCCAAGCACAACAAAGAGAAGAAAATGGAGATTTTGTGTTTTGGCTTTCCTGGCTCACCCTTTGCTTGCTGCAAGTTGTCTCATTCCAAATTCAGTCGACTGTGGATCTCACGATGAGAAAACCATTGAAGGTTTTGAGGCATTTTTCATCTCACCCATTTCGAGAGCCCAGATGTGCTCTGAAATTGTGGCTCACACAAGTCCCACTAAAGTCAGTGGAGGGGCTTCAAGATCAAGCACTGCCAGCTGGCCTGGCCCTCATGGCCTTGTGCCTGGGCTTGGAAGCTATCGAGTGCCTCTGCCACCAAGATGCAGCAAACAAACGCAGACGTTTCCTTTTTAATGAGCATTCGTATAAAGACCTTGTAAACTTTCTCTTGAGTTTATGGGATGGTAAAATTGACAAGTGTCTGCTTGTTCGGTGCTTGTAAAAATGCCTTGCCTGCGAATAGCTATTGAGATTTCCATTCTAATTCGCTGTTTTGTTTCGTGCTTCCAAGTCTCTGATGTCTGGCTGGTAAAAAGGAGGTGAAAATCACACACGTCCCTTTTCGCAGTTGGTGCCATCTGTGCCCATCTTTCCCAAACTCATCAGAAACGTCTGATTGTTTCAGTGAGGAACAAACAGATACAGCTGCCCCAGCGAGACTTGGTGCCGACTAAAAATACCTCTCCTTGTGCATCTGCATGCTTGCTGCTCGCCGTGTCAAACCGTTACGGGTCATACCCCAGTGGGCAGCGTTAGGGTTGCATGGGCAGGTGCCATGCCTCGTGCTGAGCTCCCCTGCTCAGCCTGTGCTGCATGGAGGGATGTGAGCTGCTGGAGCTCTGGTTCTCTGCACCCTTCTGCAGTGCCTTCCGGAGCACCTCCTGCTGAAGCCATGAATGGGGAACAGGGGTAGGGATACTCTCTCGGCTCTGGATAAGAAATGGCGTGAGGTTTCTTGATGTCCATTACGAGGGCAGTTCTAAAAAAGGGGCACAACCCTTCAGAGGATTTTTCTTTATTTTTAGGCCCATGGAAACACAGCTCTGCACATGGCAGCTGCGCTGCATGGTGACAAGAACCAGAAGGAAATCATTCAATTGCTCCTTGACCACGGGGCAGACCCAAGCATCCGAAACTTAGACAACGACCAGCCGATCCACATGGCTCCTTCTGGGAAAGCTGGGGACCAGGTGAGTGTTCCTGCTGCACCAGTGCCCTCTGCCTTTAATGGAGGAAACAGGGAGGACAGCCTGGGCAGCCTGGTCTGGTATTAAATGTGGAGGTTGGTGGCCCTGCATGGGGCAGGGGGTTGGAGATTCATCATCCTCTGAGGTCCATCCCAACCCTGGCCATTCTGTGATTCTGTGAGGATGCTGTGTGCCAACAGTGCTGGCCAAGTTGTGTGGCATGGGGCTGAGCTCGCTGGGGGATCCCTACTTCAGCAAATCCAAAATGAAGGAGCACAAAGCAGGCTTTAGAACCAATGGATCGTTAAGGTTGGAAAAGACCTCTAAGATCATCAAGTCCAACCATCAGCCCACCACCACCATGCCTACTGAACCACAGCTGTGCTGTGCCAATCTACAGCTGTTCCCCCATGGCAGCATGACTCAAGGGAAGATAAGGTTTCATGTCTATGGGTATGAAAGGGCTCCTGGAGCTCATTTTAGTCTCAGTGAGTTAGAATGTATATTTAGTCTGGGAGTATATAATGGGGGGGGGGGGTGTATGCATCTTAGTGTCCACACGCAGCTTGTGACTGTCACTCCCCACAGCTTCACGTGGTGCATTGTAATACACCATATATATATCATATAATACAATAATACAATAATACCTTTGCATATTTTTTTTTGCAGGTCAGGCATTTGCTGAAGAGAGGGAAAGTCACATCAACATTCATTTCCTGCTGCCGAAATGCCAGATCCTAGGTTGGAATGGCTTCAGCTTCAGCCTGTGGCACGAAGCCCCATAGAACAACCATGAGGATGGTTAACCAGCGTGTCTCTGCCCCCAGAATCTATACGCTGGGTTGGGATGGCAGTGTTTCTCAACCTGTGGCCTTTGGACCACGAGTGGCATGGGAGATATCAAGAGATAAGCTCTGAGATGGCAGAGAAGCTTATTTTGTCAACAGGGAATGCTAATAATCCCGTGACACAAATAAGCAAACATTTAACATGCAGCCAAGCTTTGGTTTGGTGGCAAAGGGCAGCCAGGACACAAGATGGTCCTTGGTAGCAATGGTTGAGAAATACTGCTCCAAGCCCTGCTCTCGTCCTGTGCGGAGGCACTGGGTGAAACGCTGAAGCCTCTGTGATGTGCAGTGAGTTCGACTGTCCTTGGGATGCACAGACCTGGGGGGAAGGGAGAGAAAGACTGGACCGAAGAGGTCGGCACCAAGACTGCAGTTTCCAGGGCCACGGCTGAACTAAAGACCTCCAAGGGAGGAGGAGCAGCTTGTTCCTGCAAGCTGCTGCTCTCCCTGCTCTTAGCACTTTGAGGAGGGGAGCTGAATCAGCTCTCCATTGCCCCATTGCTCACCCCAACCCTTGAAAGGAGAGCAGATGCTTGTGAGAGCAAGCGCGTGGCTGTCCTCGTCCCACGTTAAGAAGTTCTTATCCTTTCTGTGAAATGATTTGTGAATTGCTGTGCAATCAGCTGGCGGTGTGCGGGGCAGGAGGAGTGAAGGCAGGTGCCTGCAGGGGGTGAGAGCTCTGCTGGGACAACCAACACAGAGGTTCTCATCCCCAGCGCACGCTCTGCATGTTGTTCTCTCAGCCTTGCAGAGTTGTTTTCTTCCACTGGGGCTGAACTGATTAAGTTGAAGGGCAAATCTCTTAAATCACCCCCGTGACTTCCTCCATCGCCCATTAACTCAATGCAGCAGGGCTTTGTTAGGCACTTGCGAGCCCTGCAAACCCTTCAACGACTGTTTTGCAGATCCAAACAAAAGCTCTTAAGAAATGCAGGAATCCCGATTAGAGACCTCCTGACTTCCTCATCCCTCCTCTTTGCTGGTTGGCTACCGCTTCTCACTACATCATGCCTACAAACCTGCCAGCGCCCTCTGACAAAAAAAAGCGGGCGCCTATTTGCATGTGTTTGCATAAATTTGCATGTATCTGGGCTCGGGCCGGCTCAAGCATGTGCTTCCTTGCTTTGATGGGATGCTGTAACGAGACCCAAATGAGTGAGAACTGCATTGACGAGGAACAGTGGGGAATAAATTCTCTTTCTCGACCTTGAGACGATCCTTCCCGCGGCTCAGCAATGATCCCCGCGCCGTTCTGTGCCAAAATGAATTTCATCCCTTTGGGTCTGATCGCAGGATCTCCACTTCTTGCAGATATTTTGAGGAGGAATGTCCCTTTTATAACATCAGCAGCGCTGGCAGCGCTAATACCCCTTGTTTGCACACTTTATCTCTTCCTACCCGTGGCTTCAGATAAGAAGAGAACAAAGGCTCGTTGACGCTGAACAAACGCTTCCAAGTGGCACCATGGAAAAGCCATTGGGCGGCTGGCAAGGAAAGCTTTTTGATCAGATCCCCTGAGCAACCGGTTACAAGAAGAGCCCTTTATTTTCTCTGTAACTGCAGAGAGCTATTCGTGGCTCAGAATGGGGAGATCCTCATTTCTGAGTGCCCACGTGTTTGTCCCACCTGGCTTGGTAGCGCTGTGCCAGTTCTGTTAGAGCTACGGCATGAGCCACTGTCATGTAATCAGCTTTTACAAGGGAGGAAAGCAGGGAAATAACGTGCTCCTCACGGCCACAAAATCCACCGTCAGCCTTTGAATGGTTTCCCCCTCTGTTGTTTTTTCCTCCCAGTTCACAATCAGCCCAGGAATCCTTGTGTCAACAAGGGGCGAGCTTCGGCTTGCACTGCACGTGTGCAGCTGTTGACACAGCACTGGGGATTGGTGACTGCAGCCCCCTTGCTATGGGGAACTGCAAAACAGCATGAAGAAGTGCAGCAGGGAAATGGGAAATGGCAGCCAGTGATGGAGAGTGACTTAGTTAACAGATGGGGACAGTGTCAGCCCTGCTGTGTTAACGTGGGCGCTCTCCTTGTATGCTTGCAACCCATTGGCACATGTTGTTTCCTTTGCTGCACACGAACACACTCTGGCAGTTCTTGCTAATGCAGCCAGCCCACGGGGAGGATGTGGTCATCCCATTTCCACCAGCAGCCTCAAACATCTCACCTCTGCCTTATCCTCCCGTGGCTGTTTAATGTTGGTGAGGATGGACTTCAAATTGTGAAGCACTGAGGAGCTCAGCAGCGTTGGGGCAGGAGGTGACCATAACCCCACAGAGAACAAAGCACCTCCAGCACCACTAAATGACACGTGTTGGAGCATCACAGAGGTGATGGCACTTTTATCTGCAGCAGCAGCACAGCTGCTGACTCCTATTTATAACAGGTTTAGTGCTTGGGCTGGCTCTGAGCACTGGAACAGGTTGCCCAAGGAGGCTGTGGATGCCCCATCCCTGCAGGCATTCAAGGCCAGGCTGGATGTGGCTCTGGGCAGCCTGGGCTGCTGGTTGGTGACCCTGCACACAGCAGGGGGTTGGAACTGGATGAGTACTGTGCTCCTTTGCAACCCAGGCCATTCTATGATTCTGACCAGGTGAAAACAGGGAAGAGAGGAAAGCATCACTGAAGGTTGTGGTGAAGGTGGAGCAATATTGCTTGGGTTTGTTGGTTTTTTTTTGGTAGAATGGAGGAAGTTCCCTATCTGCCAGCAGATTTGTTGAGTGTTTGAGTGCCTCCAGCTCTGGGCAGAGGGAAGGTGTTCAGTTGCAAGAGCCACCAGAGAACATTACTGTGGAAGCTGAAGAGCTGGAGGTGTGCTGGGGGTTGAGGGCTTCTTCCTCATCTTTGTGAGCCTCCATCAGTAGCCAAAGAGAAAGTTGCTGGCATTCAGCACACAAGCAATGGGCACTGTGAGTACCAAATGATTTATTTGTGACACAAAGAGCTGGTGTTGGTGACACGGGTTTGGTAAGGCAGCTGGGGGGGAGTTCTTAAAAAAACAAAACCAGGGAATAAAATAAAGACCAAATAAAAAAAAAGCTACCCCTGACCACAGAAAACAGGAGGATGAATGTAGTGGCAACACCATGTGCGAGTAGTGATGAGTTGGAGGCAGTGCAACCGTATGCAGTTCCCAGGCAACGATGCCAACGTGAAGGCAGCGTGCAGCCCCTCCCCATTAGCTGTAACAGATGTCCCAGCTCCTGTCCCTCCTGAAGAAGTCGTCAGTGGGTGGCAGGCAGCCCGAGCAATCCGTGCCAGGGCAGGGGAAACGTTGTGGGACCTTGGGGTCGGTGTGCGGGGGGCTGCAGGCAGCACAGCAGCAGGCGAGGGGCGTGTAGGGGGATGGGGGGTGGCAGGGCCAGCCCTCTGCTGGGCAGCCGTAGGGCATGGGGTCCAGGGCAGGAGGCGGGCTGTGGGTCAGGGGGGTGAATGGGGGCAGCTGGGGAGCGGGGCAGCCGTGGGGCAGCGCGTTGGGCAGATCAGCTGGGCTCGGGGATGCTGCAGCCTGCAAGGGAGAGAAATGAGAAAAGTGGGTTTTGGTTTGGAGTGTCGTCTTGGGGATCAGCGGGACAGCTGGGATTGCTGCAGTGCTGCCCACTCAGAGGGTCTGGCTGCACAGAAGGTGGGTTGGCCCTTGGAGGATGGCCTGGTTTCAGCTGGGATAGCTGGGATATTCTCCATATTGCCTTGTGTGGTGCTATGTTTTGGCTTTAGGAGAAAAACACTGATAACACACCAATGTTTCTTGCTGCTCCTCAGTATTGATGCACAGAGCCAAGGACATTTCAGCTTCTCATGCTGCCCTGCTAGCGAGGGGGCTGAGGGGCACAAGGATTTGGGAGAGGACAGAACCAAGACAGACAACCTAAGCTGGCCATATGGATATTCCATCCCATGTGGCATCATCACAGCAGCAGACTAAACCCTGTTCCAGTTCTCCGAGCACTGACAGAGACCTCCTCTGAGCTCTGTGGGATCTCCATGCAGAGCACCACCTGCGTTGTGATGCCTGCACTCCTGAAGCACCCCCGTTCCCAAATCAGCTCGCTGCTGCTTTGCCCCATGCTGTGACCCCATCCCCAGCATCCCTCGGAGCGCACAGTGCTTACCAAGCCCTGGTTGAAGCAAAGAGGGACTGGCTGGAAGGAATCAGGGATGTAATGTGATGGTGTCTGCAGAGTGCCCAGGGATGGCTCGAAGGCTGCCTCTGCCTGCAGGTAGGAGTCCACCAGCTGCTCCAGGTGGCTGGGGCTCTCCTCGCAGGAGAGGCAGTTTGAGAACTGCCTTGACGGGCAATAGTTGGGAGCTGAAGAGATGGGTTCTGCATCAAAAGGTGCTGGGGGAGAAGGTAAAGCAAGAAGCAGTGCGTTATTCAGTATCTGTTCTCCCAAAGGTGTGCAGGTGCAAGTAGAAGCGTGTAGCTGGATGGGGGAAGGAGTGAGAAGTACCCACAGTACATTAACAGATGGAGATTTACCACCCTGAAAGACCTTGAGTACATCTCGTGTTTCTGTATTAACATAAGCAAATTGATTCCTAAATATTGATGATTTAATCATTTCCTTGTCCACACAATGTATATATTCACACATGCCCAACCCTTGAGGTCTCTTTGCTTTGGCTGCAGAACGCTCGAAGGACCTGAAAGCCCCGAATGCCCTTCCCCCTTTCCTTGGATATCCACTGAGATGGGGAAGGAACTGAAAATCTGACACTCCTCTCACTGCTGCAGGGGCTGCCAGCAGAGCAGGAACAGCCAACAGTGCACAGTGCTCCCAGCCCATGGGCTGCAGCTCAGGGACAGCAGTGCTTTCTGGGGCTGAGCATCCATTGGGGAAGGGGCTCTGCCTTCCTGCAGTGGGAAGCTGCCCAAGCAGAGCGTTGGATGGTGCTCCTGCAGAGGGGATTATGTCCCCCGTTGGCCTCTCAGCATCCTCGTCTGCATTCCATGGGCTCCATTCAGGTGCCGACTGGCTGCACTGCTGGCTCTCTGCCTTAACCAAGGGCTGGAAGGACGCTGGGCTGTGGGAATGGTTGGGAAGGGACGCTCGGGTGGGCTTTGTACCAACCTGGGTGAGGAGGAGACACAGACTCTGCAAACTGGATGCTGTTGCTGCCCCAGGAAACCTGGCAAAGAGAAGGGGAGAGGAGGGTCTGGAGGTGCTGTAATGCAGGAGTGTTTTTCTGCACTCTGAGGTAAGTCATTTTGCTTCAGGCTATTCACATAAACCTCATTTCTCTCAGGGCTGAGGCACTGTAAGCTTCTCTGGAACCGACAGAGCAACATTCTCAACCTGAGCTTGTGCAGATAACGGGGCTGGAGGAGCACAGCACCTGGTGCAAAGCTTTCAGTATAACATCGTCAGCACACTCTGCCTGCTGCCTTGTTGCTGTCACTGCAGCAGAGATGGGGCTGCCTTGCAAACCTCCCCATGTGGACATCTCTTCATTCCCAGCATTGTGGATCACCAGGAACTCGTAGGGATGGGTATGAACAAGAGCAAGCCATTTATAAGTGCAGCAATAACTGCCTTGAAGTGTGACTAAAGGCATTCCAGTTGTCCCCACGGCCAGGCATCTCTGGATCACCGGGGCTGATGCCAAAGCTGTTTGAGATACAGCACATCTCCCCCTAACACAGCTCTGTGCCCCCATGGCAAGGGCTGGGATTCCCAAAGGATGCTGCAATCTGGAGTTGATGGGTCTGTGTTTGTTCCAGGAGCTTGACTGGAGGGAAATCTGTGCCCCAAAAGCAATGGGAATATTGATGCTTGTGCCCTGGGACTAGGATTTTACACTGCAAATGCAAATCCTCTCTCCCCTCTCCCCCCCCAGCTGTAACTTACACAGGCTTCCACTTCTTTTCGTCTATTCAAAATGCTGATAGCTCATTTTCCTGCTAATAGCTTCCTCTCCCCACGTGTTTAAACCATTAAACAGTGGAGCTGGTAGGCCTGCCTGTCCTGGCTTTGGCTGCAGATGTGCACCACAGCAGAAGACTTCAGGTCCAGCTCAGGCAGCAGCCGATCCCTCTAGGACAACCAGGAATCCACAATGGGAACCTCCTGCCCTGTGGCCTCCATTTGGCTTTTTCCTTTATGGGTCAGATCAGCACGGTGCCAGCTGGCTCCAGGAAGGAAGGAAACCAATTGCACACTGTGCTGAGGCTGCGTGGGAGCAGAGACCCCCATGTTCCCAAAGCCCAGCAGCTCCGTGCTCTGCTGGCCCCGACGGCTCCACCTGGCTTCCAGCCTTGTGCAATCAGCTGCCATCAGGGTGCAGGGAGATGAGATCTGAGAGCCATGCCAAGGTGTGGTGTCACGAACCGGGAAGCAGGAATGATTTATTGACCCTTTCATGCAAATCCCCAGCGCGGCTGGAGCTGGAGGGCTCTCACACCGATGGGGAGCGTTGGCGTGCGTGCGCTTTGCACACAGGTGAACCCACCTCCTTCCTTCCCCTCTCCGAGAAGGGACGGAGCTCAGGTTGTGCTGGATAACACAAGAGACCCGGATTCCCATATTCCCAAACCCTGCTTGGTTTCAGCACGGCACACCTTTGCCCTGGCTGCCATGGACACATCCTCCACCTGCACCAGGCTCTGCCCAGCACCACTTTGCACCACTGCTGCGGTCCCGACTGAGTTTCCTTCTTCCCTATCACCCCGCCGTGCTCAAATCCCATGTCACATAGATCACAACCTTGGCAAAAACATTACATAAATGATGAAGGGAGAAGGCGCACAGCAGACACCAAGTGGTTTCACTCACCGCCGCGCCGGTTGCTGCTTGCCGTGCCCTTCTCTGCTGCAGCAACTCCTTAACAGTGATCTTTACTCTGACACCTTGGTACACTTTGGGCTTTCCTGAAAGAAAGGATGGAAAAACTCTCCTCAGGATGGGAGACTTTTTGGGAGCACGTGGCGTGTTTCCAGGCCCCCCCTGCTTACAGCTAACAGTTCGTTGCTCTCTGTAAGTGACTTCCAGTGGCAATTCTTTCACACCTGCTAATCAAGCTTGTGACAAGCAGCTATTTAGGAGGGAAAAACAAACCAACAGTTGTTGATCATACATATTAATCATATAGGTTTTATTCTTTGCTATCTCCTTCTATTTTTCCCTTCAGGTGTCCTAACACCCAGCTCCATCTGGTACTGCTGCTGCATCCCTTTAAACCCCCTCGTGTTTGCTGCTCCCAGGACCTGAAAATAGAAGTGGGGACTGCTTTGTCTGACAGATGAAGGGCAGGAATCAAACAATACAAATACATGGGTGGTTATTCAGAGGGTTAAATAAAACACAAATAAAATGCCTGCTTTCATGCCTTTTTTTTTTTTTTTTTTGGCAAAGCCTGGATTGTCTCTTTGATTCACTCATTCTGTGCAACTCCCATTGCCTTCAAACAAACCTTTAGGATGCCTTTAATCCAGCCCCAAACAACCATCAATCATCAGTCACTACCTGAGCAGGGATTTTTAGTACAGGAAATGGCAAAGAATTTATCTCATCTGAAGAACCACTTTCACCTGTTGTACTCATGCTGAAATCCTTAAAGCCTCTGGCAGTTCAGTTTCCGTCCTGACTTTCTGCTGTTATTTCCATCCCACAGCCAATCCTATGCACACCAGCATGGTCCCAGCCCACGGCTGCTTGCAGGCTCCCTGTCCCATAGCAGCCTGTGCTCACACATCGATGAAACCCCACTGCAGGCACTCTGCTCCCCCTGCTGTGACCTCTCCCTGCTGCTGATGGATGTGCAGCATCTCTCCATCCCGTCTGACCTCCCCTGGTTGAAGGGATGCTGCCAGAGGTGCTGGGTCCCCCTGGAAGCAACTCAGCAAGCTCAGCTGGGGCTTCTTCCAGGAGACTTTGCTGAGCTTCACCCTCAGCTGAATTTAAGAAGTCCCTTTAGCAGGCCCTATAGTCAGGAAGGGCACCCAGCCTCCTGTAAGTTTGGGATGCATGCAGCATGTCTGCACAGGGAGGCAGGCAGGGCTGCCAGCTGCACCACGAGTGCTCCCAGGACAACACACCAGCTGAGGAATGGTCTTATCTCTAAGCTCTGGACTGGCTGGGGGGGGGGGGGGGGGGGGGGGGGGGGGGAAGCTGCGCCCCGAGCAGGCTGGGGGGTAAGGCTGCCAGCTCCTCTGGGCTGATCACGGAAGGGGCGAGGGATGCGGGGCCGGGCAGAGCGAGGGCAGGCTGGGGCAGAGCGATAGCAGAGCGGCGGCTGGAGGAGCGGAGGGTCCCGGCTGCGTGGCCGGGGCTGGGGGGGATCCGTCGAGCAGCTCTGCCCGCTGCGCTCCGTCGCGCCCCGGCCCCGTCGGGCGAGAGCCGCGCTGCCTCCTCCCCGCTCCCCGCCCTCCCGTTTCCTCCTCGCCCGGGGAGGCGACGCTGCCTCATCGCACGCCGAATGACCCCGCGGAACTCCGAAACGGCCCCAAACCGGGCTGATGCCGTGGGCCGGGGGCTTACCGGACATCCTGAGCGGCGGCGGCAGCGGCTCGCCCGGCGGCCCCAGTGCAAGCGGCGGCGGCCCCGGCCCCGCGGCGGGGGATGGGGGCTGGAAGCGGCGAGCTGGGAATTGGGGGGCCGAGGGACCCGCCGGCCTGGTGGCGATGCCAGGTGGTGCCCGCTCAAATATTATTGTTTTATACCTACGGGTATAAGTTTGAGTTTTTCTCCCCTTATGCCAAGTATTTAAAACCTCTAGAAACCAATGATTTGACAATCAATGATTGCGCGATACTTTCAATTTGAATATTCAAAGGCTCCACAAAATGGGCTATCTTTTTGTGAAACCGAGCACATCCCCATCTAGCAGAGGGTCTGGGGGAATAAGATCCAGTGGGGCTGCCCTCCTCACCCTGTGCTTTTCTGACATTTTCAGGGTTTTCTCCATCTTTCCCCAAACGAAGCAGATGCCTCGAACCCAGCTCAGCGTTTTCCCCTCAGACGTGCAGGCTGGGCTCCAGCCCTCTCATATTTCATGTGCTACCTGCACAGAGGACTCCACAAGGGACCGAGTGGCTTTTTGCACAATTTGTCCCTTTTTAGGGGGAAATACTCCGGATTTCGGACCAAAATGGCACTGGGAGGATGTGGCCGAGCAGAAAGGCCACACTGGGCATGCTGGTGGAAACCACCCAGACCCTGCTTCTTCCCAAAGCACTCCTTTCTCTCTCCCCACATGCTGGCCTGGTGCTGGAGTTTACATTCACGTTCCCCTAAATGCAGGCTGTGTGCTCTCCCTGCACAAGGCAGCCCCTGTCTCGGGTGCTGCAGCACTGGCCTGCCCCCTGTGCTGCAAGGAGAGGGGCTGCAGCCTGGAGGGATGACGCAGATTTAGGGCAACTCCTGCTTAACATCGATGTATTTGGGGTTTTTGGTTTTGTTTTAAGTCATGTTTAATCTTTACATAGCAGTGTCGGGCCTCGGGAATAGCTGGCTGATGCCAGAAAGCAGGCCGGGCTGTTAATCATCTACCAGCTGCTCAATTGGGGTTGTTGTTGCAGCTGAATCTTTTCTTGAAGTAGAACAAATGCACTCAATTTAGGGGAGGAAGGGGAAGGGGAAGGTGGTGATCCCTTCCTTTGCTCTCTTCTTGTGCTGGGTTCAGGGACGCTGCCCCAGTGAGGAGCCCTCTCCCCATCCTGTGATGTGGCACAGGGACATCCTGTAGCACCTGATGATGCTAAGTGTCCTGATGCCCTTGCATTGGCTGGAGATGCTTCCCAGAAGCCACAGTGGTGGTTGCCTGTGGAGCTGGAGATGCAGAGAGGAGCCTATTCTTGGATAAGGAGAGTTTCCAGAGGCCCTGCCTCAGTGGAGAGCTGAGTGCTGGAACGGGTCAAACACATCCAGAAGAGCTTTCCTGGAGCTCGGCTGCTGGCACCTTCCATGGGCCGAGTCTGTTTCTCCCCCCGGGCAAACAGAAAGGTGCGGTCCGAGGGCTTCGGGGCACGAGGAGCCGCGAGGGTTTGCATTTCCCAACAGGTCTGAACAGGGCTGGGGAATCAGGAAGCGACAGCGGGGCGGGAAGCCAGGACAGGACCGGAGCCGGGCGCTCCCGGCCGGCAGCAGCCGCACAGCGGGGCTCTGCTGGGGGGTACCGGGGTGAGGCTGTGGGGCTGGGCGGTACCGGGACACCTGAAAGCAGAGGAGTTCGCCCCGATCTCTGGTTTGGGGGCGTTGATGGGGTACGGGGGCTCGGGTGGAGCCCGTGGAGCGTGAGAAATCTTGGTGGGCTGCGGGAACGCGCCGGGCTGTGGCTCATCAAGGATCTCCTGCCGCATCCCTGCGCACCCGCGGACGCTGGGATTCCTCCCGGAGGGTTTCGCTGCCGGTTCCGTGGGTACCCGAGGGAAGGGGCAGCGCAGGACTCGCGTGTTCGTGTGAGCAGAGCTACCTCTAGCGGCCGCCGCTGCGCCCCGGCATCAGGCCCGATGTTCGCTCTGGTACCGGGCGCTGCCGGTGGAATGGAGAGCAAGGGGGTGCGGGGGACGTCCTTGGGAATTGCTTTCATAAGCTAGATGTGATGTATCAGTGCCTCTGTTGGCACCTTCTGCTTGAATGACCAGCTAGGGAAAAGCACATAAGTAACTCAATTGCTTCAGTAATAAAGTGTTTTCCTTCTTCTCCAGCTCTCAGAGGCCCTAGATGGACCTTCCATCTTCCTTTGCCCAGACAAGGGTGTGGTGAAGGGCTGAAAGTTTGTTATGGGGTGAGTGGAGTTGGGTCGTAGGGAGCAGCAGGGAATGGGGAGCTGCCCAGACAGCAAAGGATGTTTCTAGAGACTTCAGCAGGCTTAACGGAGCAGTTGCCTGGGAATAGGGAAAGCTATTTGTTTAGGTCTTGATCAGGGAAAGGATGAGATGGAAACAAACAGAAGGTGGTGATGCACTGGAACAGGCTGCCTAAGGAGGCTGTGGATGCCCCATCCCTGCAGGCATTCAAGGCCAGGCTGGATGTGGCTCTGGGCAGCCTGGGCTGCTGGTTGGTGACCTGCACAGAGCAGGGGTTGGTACTGGATGAGCGCTGTGGGCCTTTGCAACCCAGGCCATTCTATGATTCTGTTAAAGTTTCTGCTTGCAGTAGCTAGCTGGGAGGAACAAACCTGCTGTGGGCAGGAGAAAGGGATGGATGAGGGGAAAATCACACCTGGGGAACCACAGAGCCCCTTTGCAGGGGCCAAGCAGAGCCCCCTCCCCAGGTAGGAGTCAGTGTGGCTTAACCAGGAGCATCAGCCCAGAGCTTGCAGCACCTGAAGCCAGCACATCTGCACCTGCAACAAGCCAAATGTGCTTGGGGAAGGGAGAGGGGTGAGCCTGTGCCTGGCAGCAAAGCCTCCTGCCTCTGTCCTTTTTCCTGACCCAGGACCTCAAGGAACAGCACTGTCAGCTCCTGGCTTTGTGCTTTTTCAGCTCCAGGGAAGACAGGAAGGCAGAGAGGAAGAAGGGATTTTCCATGTGCCACCTCCATCAAAACAGGTGGGAGCTGTTAATTACCTCTCTCTCCCCCTCCCCCCCCTTTAGGATTTCACATAAGGCTATAGTGGTCTTCCCTTTGTTATCACTGCTTTTGTGTTAACTCTTTTGAATGCTTTCCTCTGGGGCCGTGTCTTTTTGTCCAAACAGCACAGAAGGCATTTATTTATTGGTGGGGAGGGAAGGGGCAAAAAGATGACTGAGTTGTGTTGCCACTGACCCACAAAAGATAAAGGCACGTTACCAAATGTCTCTTCAAAGCAAGGTAGTTCACTGAGCACGGAGCTCAGGAAGGTGTTGGCGTGGCTGCAATGCGCTGCCTGAGCCTTGGTGCCATCGTTATGGGGAGATTATCTTCGAGATTTCAAGCCTGGGGCCTCTGAGGTTTAGCAGATGTAGGCTAAGAAGAGATTTCAAAGGAGAGCCGGTGGCAGAACTATCAAGATAACTGGTTTCTTTCCCATATATTTCAAGGTCCCTCAGCACAGCCACAGTGCTGAGCAGTTATTTCGGCGTCAGCACAAAACAGGTCACAGTAAGAGTTGATATATAAGTCCTTGGCTCATCAAAACAGGCTGAATCTGCACGGCCCAGCTCTGTCGTGCTGCATTTCTCTGCTGCAGAGCCTCTTGTGCTGGCTCCTGGTGAGCTGTGTGTGGAGGCAGCAGTCTGTAGCTCCTGGCTGGGTGGTACAGCAATGCTGAGAGCAATAATAATAATAACAACAATCTCTTCTTGACCCCAAGGTACTTAATTAGCCCTGCGTGACCCTATGTGCTCTGTGGCAAAGACATCTGCTCCTTGGGGGCAGAGCTCATCCGTGGGGCTGTGTTGAGCTCTGCGTCTGGACTTTGGCTGGCTGGTGGTGATTGCATGGCTGGTGGTGATTGCATGGCTGGTGGT